ATTGAAGAGGTTGTATAGGATGTTAATGGCTGTCTCTGTATCAGCTTAAATGGCTTCTGCTGGTATCTCATCAGGCCCTGCCGCTTTTCCATTATTAATTTTACTTATTGCTCTCCTGATATCTTTGTTGGCTTGTCGCAGTTGATCCGAATGTCTGTATTGGCTGATTGTATGTCCGGAGGTGTTTCTGGTGTTGGTCTTAATAGCTCTCCGAAGTACTCTACCCACCTTTTCAATTGTTTTCAATTGTCATTCTATTTTTAATGTTTCCCCGTGTTAATTAACTACTGGGATTTTTTAAACTTTCTCACGAACAATCCTTTTCCATTATAAAATGCTTTAATATAATATCAGAGTATTATGTACTTGACAGACATTTAAGGGTAGAGAATTTTGTCTTCCTTAGCTCTCCGAAGTACTCTACCCACCCCTGGCCCCGTGGGGATCCGGGTTAGAATAGGTCCTCAGTATCCCCTTGCTTGTCGTAAAAGACGACTAAATGGGGCGGTCCTTCAGATGAGAATGTATAAACCGAGGCCTCGTGTCACAGCAGGTGTGGCACAATAAAGATCCCTCCCTGCTCAAAGGCCATAAGTGCCGAGCATAGGCCTAAATTTGCAGCCCTTCACCGGCAATGGTGACGTCTCCATATCAGTGAAATATTCTGGAGAGGGACGTTAAACAGTATACAATCAATCAATCAATCAATTGTTCTTCTGTTGTTGAGAGTGGATTCCTGTTCTTGTCCTTAGTGGCTTGTCTGTTTGTTCGAACTTGTGGGAGAGCTTCTTTGTGATCATATACAGTTCTTTCAAATTTCCTTGTCCCGCTGCTTCTTAAGCTTGTTTGGACAGGTTGTCGATGGAATCCCATTTATCTTTCCTGATGCTTTTCTTAACTTCTTTATCTGTGGCTGTGTAGTCCTCTAAGCTTTTGCCTTTGCTGTTCTTGTCCTGCTTGTATTCAGCACTGCTTTCTTTTCCTTCCTCTCATCCAGTTTCCTCATAATATCACCAGAGATCTACTGCTTGTGCTGAGTCTTTCTCCTGCCTAGGACTTCCTTGCATGTGCCTTGCCACATTAAAATTCCTTGATGTGCTGCCATTGGGTCTCTATGTTGATATCATTGTTTTCAAGCTGATCTTGTAGTAGCTGGAATCTATTTGACAAGCTGAGATGGAATGCTGTCTTCACTTCCTTTGTTTTGAGGGCACTCACGTTGTACCTTGTCCTCCTGTTTGTCATGTTGTTTACTTCTTGAGGCATAGTCTTCATGCCGTCATCAGCAGATGGTGATATGTTGAATTGTCGGCTCATCTCATCACCGACATCTTTCCATGCTCTTCGAAATTTCTTGTTGATGCAGATATGATCGATCTGGTTCTCTTAACATGGTCAGGGGATCTCCATGAGGCGTTGTGAATTCTTTTATGAGGAAAGATGCTTCCTCCTATGACCAGCTGGTTTAGAGAATCTCTCACCATTCTCATTCATTTATCCCATTCCTTCTGTGCCCATGACTTCATTGTAGCCAGTGTTGTTAGTTCCAATCTTGGCATTGGAGTTGCCCATGAGTATTGCCATGTCTTTCTTCGCCGTTTACCAGTTCCAATCCAATAAGAGCACGTGCCTCCATTGACAGCAGACCTACACCTTTGATGTGGTGGGTTAATTCCCTCCTGAATACAACAGTGTTTCCCCGGTGGTAAGCCTCAGCTGTCCTGTCTGTAGCCACCAGGGCTCGAGCTGTGATTCGCCATTGTCGCCAATTGCGAATTTTTTTCAAAAGTGGCGAAAAGAAATTCATAAGTGGCGAAAATTATTTTTTTAGATGTACCATGTACAAAATTTGTGTAGTCCCGTTTAGCTCCTTTGTTTATTCAGTGTACACAGATAAGTCCCTTTGTTTACTTAATTAATGCAGCAGAGGTGTGAAAACTGAAACCTACATGTAGGAAATCACGTCTCGCTTGAACGAACAATGCTGACTAGGTAACTAGCCCGGGGCAATAAAGGGATACAAAATTGCTTGAAATGATATAATTTGGATTAAACAAGGGGGGATAAAGTGTTAATGGGAGATGAAGTTAATAAATAAAAGATTTTTATCAACAAAATCTGGATCTATGTACATGATGTAGATCTTTTTTTTTAAACCGAAAGTAGGGAAACATGATGAAAATTGTAAAGAATGGCTTCAAATTTTACCTACTGAAAATTGAAAAATGTGTACATTATTATACCGTTAACTGACAAAGAATTAAACAGAAATTGGTTTGGAAACAGAATTAACTTTAGTTAGTAAATTACACTGAATTATTTACAATAACATGAGCTTGCATATTAAACCCTGGAGTCTCCAAGTTGTTAAAATAAAGTCAAGTTTCAAACCTAATTTTCATTTCTTTTTAATTTACTTCTCTTCACAATTTGATTAATGAAATGATGAAAATTTCTATTTTTAAAAAATGTCATATTTTACTAGGTCTGTAGCCCCCCCCCCCCCCTTCCCAGGTGAAAAAAAATGTAAACAAGAGGACATTTTCTGTCAAGAGTTGGCTGATATCAATACAATATCAAATTAATTGTGTAATTCCAACATTATTATTTTTTTCTTTTTTTAAATGGATACTACCATAAGCTTTAAACATTACAATTTTGAAACAATGTCTGTGTCAGATAAACATAATAAAAAAAATTGAATAAAAAAAAAGTGCATTGCATTGTCGAGAAATCAGATGTACGTATGCCTTTCCTTAAAGACTGTGTCGCGAAAAGTGGCGAAAAATATTTTCGGTCCAGTGGGAGCCCTGGTAGCCACCATGTCTCACTTAGTCCTAGGAGACAAATTTTGTAGTGCTTCATCTCCTTTGCCACCTGTGCTGTTCTTCCTGCTTCATACATTGTTCTGATGTTCCAAGTAGCAAATCTGATGGTTTTCCTGGGTGTCAGAAAGGGAGTCAGCTCTACAGCTTCCTTTCGGCTGTCATTGCACATAGTTTCCCTGGAAGTAGACCCAATCTGGCCCAGGTTATGTTGATTTTGGCTTGTCATTGATGCTTCTGTAACTTGTTTTTTTATAGGTAGGGTTGATGGCCCTACGCAAACCTCTAGTTACCTTGAGGAAAGGTGGTTTGATTTTGGAGTTTCCTTCCTAGACTGCTTTACTTCCCTGGATAATCCGATATTGAGCACAGTCTGCCCATTTGGTTTTATATTAGCGTTTCCTTCACCTAGCCTTCCCCATGGGTATGGCTGCAAGGCAGCAGAGGTTTGGAATTGGATTTTCCTTCTCTTAAATGAGCTATCCTGTCGGACTGATGAGTTCCATCTACCCGAAGCACTGGTTTTAGGTTGCCAGGTAACTCGGTCGCCTTCACCCCTTCTCCTATCAGTAGCAGCAGCTCCGTTGGATTTGATGAAAGCCACATGAGCAGGCTAGGAGCTAGATTTTGGTTGCCAGAGGCAATTTGAGGCACACACAATAAGTAGCATTTTATAGACAATGGGAGCTAATCCCCATTGCCATCCCTTGGCTATGACAAACTTTGGACATGATAATTACAATATATAATTTTTCTATGTAATTTGTATATTTACAGTGGAGCCTCATTTATCCGGATGCTTTGGTTCCCAGTCAATTTGTCCGGATATGTGAAGCGTCCGGATACCTGAATCACCAGTTCAACTAGACAAAGTAACATTATAAAAATTCCGTTCCGATGAAAAATCGTCTGGATACTGAAGCATCCAGATATCTGGCGTCCGGATATCTGAAGGTCCACTGTATATAATTTCTGTGCTTGATTAGTAGTATCTTGAGTTCTTTTAAAGGTAGAATTCTTATCTGGTTTCTGTTTATTATGAGAAAATATTATAAGTACATTAAGTTATTTGCTGTCAGGTACTTGTACAACTTTGAATTAAAATGATAAATTGAGTCTGAATTCTAGCAGGCCTAGAGACTAATTTTTAGCTGAACTGTGGCATATGAACATGTCTCCTTTTCTGCTTCTTAAAACTACAGAACAATGAATATATTCAAAATTTTGAGACAATAAAAGAGTCTAAAATAAATTTTCTGAAGTGCTAAAATTAATAACTATGAACTGAAGTTTGAAAATATATCAAATAAAAATATTTTCTAATAGTACAATCTTAATAGCTTTTGAAAGCTTACTTGATTACAACAGATTTGAGCAAAAAAAAAAAAATCAGTAAAAAGTATTTTTTCTCTCTCACTAAATAGTCAGTACAGTGTGATGTAGTAACATGAGATAATTTTATTTTTTATGTCTAAAGTCTTTCTCATTCTTCCTTAGATAACTTATTTGTTTAAAACAAAAGCAATCAAAGCACCACATTTTCTAACACCCCCTCCCTTAGAAACGATATTGGTTTTGCACCTATTGGTTAGTCAGTATCGAAGAGAGATCAATCCTTGAAGACTAGTACATTAATGTACACAGACAGATGACCTCTATCTGAGGTCACAGTCTCAAAGATCATCCATGGGTTAAACTTTTCTAAAAATAGGAAAATATAGTCTGTTCAGTATCTTGAGAAACTTAAAAACTTGACATAATCAAATTTAATGCACTAGCTAGTATCATTAAAGAGTAGATTACCCAGACATGTATTGATTTTGAGGTTACATGATTAAAGTTCAAGCTAGGCTCAAGCAACTCTGGACATAATGTTGACTTGATGGCTAAGATCTCGCTTGATAGTTTGTTTTATGTTATGGTTGAAGACATACTTTAGTACTTAGACAGGTCCTAAGATTGTGCCTAAAACATACTAATATGACCATACTTGAGTCAAAACCTTTGCAAACTTTACGTTAATACGACCCCCATTGTTTTTGTCCTGTTCATGCTTTATTTTGTTGTTTATTGGTACATGTATTACATATATGAGAATGATTACTGTTCATTATCTTCATTTTTTACATTTATACTATTCATTCTTTAACTTATAATAAAAACAAAACACATGTAAAGAATGTAGAAGTATTATTTTTTAAACTTCATGTAAAAGTAGTTTGTTAGTTCTGATGTTATGTACACAGAAAATAAAGCTTATATTAAGCAAATCCTGCTGTTGAAATCATTATGTACATCATGTATATAATAGTAAATACACAATCCTTCCAGATCAGTAAGAGTTTATCAGTTACTTTACGTACAGGATCAGTGTTTCCTTCCATAGAATTCAACCTACTCTAAAAAAAAAACCTGAGAAAATATACCTTTCATTGACCACAAAGTTTTACAAGGAAAGCACAAGAGCTTCTTTTTTTTTTGCAGATTTGCAATTTCACAAGCTGATACACAACCAAATTGCTTCAAATTCTAATTTGATATTAGCTTCCATCTTGAAAATGTTTCTTAAAGAGTTCAACAGCTTTAAATCTGTGAGAAATAGTGTTCTTTGTTTCTCCAGGCATCTCAGCATAGGTTTGTGTGAAGCCCTCGGGCTGGAAGCATGGATCCCATCCAAAATCATTTGATCCCCTGGGCTTAACAATTTCTCCTGGTGTTTTTCCACAAAATAATTTCACTTCAGAGTCTTTCTCACCTGAGCTGTACGCTAAAATACACATGGCTGTGGCCGATTTATCCTCAAAGCCATGTAACATTTTATGTAGACCTGGAACAACCATTACAATTACTTGGGTAAAATGTACAAGTACCAGTGGTATATTCAATATTTCATAAATAAAAGTAAAATGTATCCTCCTCCCTCTCCCTCCCATAAAAAAAAATGAATATCAAGAATATTATAAAATATGACTTATAAAATAATTTCAAGTGCAGGGAGTTGAAAAGGGGAGAACTCATGATTTAATTTTAGTTGCAGGAAATTTTTACCTTCTGGTTTCAGTTTCTTGAGGAACCACTTAATGTAGGGCCCAGGGAGACCACCCAAAGCATTGAAACACAGACTGGTATCCTCGGTCACCACCGGACACTTGAGCTTTTCTGCAGCCAGCTTACATTTCTCCCTGGCAACTTCCTCTGGCTCTCCTTGAAATTCTGGCAAATCAATATCTGCATTGGTTATCTAAAAAATGTAATACATACATGTACCTGTTTAAGTAACAACATTGATTTTGTACATCAGGATGTCAAAAAATTTAAACAATATAATCACCTTGTATGGAAAATCCTCTCCCAGGATTTGCATAAATTCTTTTAATTTGTTTTTATTCCCAGTACAAAGAACAATTTCTTTTATTTTCTTCTGTTTGTTTGCTTGAAACATCATAAATCTCTGAAATTTAAGAAAGTCAATTAAAATTGTTAGCCACTGATAATTTTAAGTTAACTCAACAAGCTTCATCTCGATCTTTAAATAATTTTGACTATACATGACAGTGATCATGTATATGCAACACCACCTTAGCCCTAAAGAATTATGATTACCGGGTAAATTCAACTTGAATCTAGAAATACAGGTATTCAGCGACTGGAGCCCACCTCGATCAACAAAGCAAAGTCTAACACTGTGCATCTCTATAGATGCTTCATCTATGCAAATTTGGTTCAGTTAGGTCTTAAAGCCTCTTTTGAATAAATACTTCATAATTATGGATTGCTGGTATGTTTTTTAATGCTCATAATGTTAACTTTCAGAATCTCTATTTTACAATAGTCAGAGACCAAAAAACATATAGGTGATTTTATATACAACAATAGCAAATACAAAAACAAAAAAATTACAATGTGAAGTATGGGAATTTAGGCATATTTTATTTATTTTCTTTACAAAGGTGTTTTCTTAGAAAGCAGTGTTTATTGTTGTTCCTATTGTCCATGCATCCAATCATATTAAGGTGTCGTGTACTCTAATTGTCCTGTCTGTAAACAACTTTTCAAAATGCTTCTCTTTGTACAGTTAAAGTTCAATTCAATTCAACTACCACACAAGTAAATACACAAAGATAATTATGTTTATCACTGACTAATTTATCAGTTTTTGATGAAAACCAACTTGAGGGATGAACACAAATACACAATCAGGCTTGTTTCAGATGCTGGATCTGACCTACATTTCCCAGCCTTATTAAATTTAGTTATTTATGAAAATCCAGAGCTAGCAGATTAGGGAGATACTTACACACTTCCTAGCACCAAAATTGAAAATACCAACAAGCATGGACCAACTTTCACTTTCAAAGTTTGTGCTCTTGATTTCGTATTTTTAAAAACATGCATAAGAAAAACATACCAAAAATTCATTAATATGAAGTATTTACTAAAAAGAGGTTTTTATTTCATTTTCTTGTTATTATTATTATAAATGTACATCAAATTGTCCAATCAACTCTACTCCGAAATTTACGTTAATGTGGCTAAAAAGAGTGTGCTATATTTTTAACATTTGGGGAAAACTCGGCCAACGCGGCGTAAAATATGTCGTATTTTCCAACTTAGCTAGCATTTGTTCGTAGGAAATAGCTTCAAAATGTCAAGACATCGGAATGTGCGGACTATGAACTATGATGATGGTATGGGATTGATGATATTGTGTATTCTGATTATATAACGCAATCTTGAGTTGATTAACGTTATTTATTGCAATCCGAGATTCCTCTGTTCGTAACACCAAGTACTACTTTTACATGGATGTTTGCGGCAATCGTTTAATCACACGCATATTTAGTATCTGAAACTCAAGACTAATTAGAAATAATTTGGTTGTTTAATAAACCGAGAATGTTATAACTGGGTTCATTTAATTAAAAATAAGAAAGCGGTAAGTGTTCCTCCCATAGACACTCAATTGTAAAAAAATATATAGGCTATATACACCTACTAATACTATATATATATATATGTTTTGTTTATTATGGAATCCGGATAGGGCCATGCAGTTCACTATCGCACCATCAACCATCGACTAAAAGGTCGATGGCGCAATAACCATGAAGTGATGACGATGGAGCTATGGTGCAATAGCGTGATGACATTGATGTGATGGTGTGATGATAGTGTGATAGCATGATGGGGAATTGTGAATATCGCTTCATCATCATCGTGTCATCGCTATCGCACTTTCGCTCCATCATACTATCGCACCATCGCTTCATCGATATGGCACCATCGCTTTATCGTTATCGCAATATCGCTTCATCACACAATTGACCTAAACTGCAATGTGCAATAAAGAACTGCATGGCCTATCCGGATTCCTTAGTCTATAGTATATTAGGTGTATATTTTAATTTTAACAATTAAGATTGGGAGTGCCTATGGTTACTCCCCAAACAGAGACTAGTATTGTGGGGGATACGGGAATAGCGGATTCTTTTAGTTCACCTGAGCTGAAAGCTCAAGTGAGCTTTTTTGATCAGTGATCACCCGTTGTCCTTCCAGGGCTCGACATTAACTTTTTTTCCTAATTGTCCATTCGGACAAATGACCAAGACGTATACTTGTCTGAACTTCAACTTCACTTGTCCGAAAAATTTTCAATAAAGATCTTATAGTTTCAATTTGAAAATTAAAATAAAGTCCAGTGCATATGACATATGCTTGATTGATTCGTAATGTTATTGATAAATACAACAAACACATTTACGAAACAAAATTAATCTAGGCTTTCTGTCCTGACAATAACATTAATGTCCACAAGTGACTCTGTCGACATGAAACAGAATACACAGACCACACTTCGTCTCGTGACTTTGGTTTCAGTATTATGCAATTAGTGAACTTCGATCCCGATCAAATATGAACTCAATATAGTGATACAAATCGGGATTGAAGTCTGGGTCTTATGTACAGCTTCCGTCTTGAAACTACCGATTACCTGTCAACAGTCGTTCTTTTCATTAATTGTAGACTCCTTTACATTAAAATGCACTTGTCCAATCGGACAAGTGCCCAGCAATATTCACTTGTCTGTATTTTCTTTTCACTGGTTCCGGACAAGCGGACAAGTATTAATGTCGAGCCCTGCCTTCCATCCATCTGTCTGTAAACTTATTACATTTTCAACTTCTTCTCAAGAACTACTGGGCCAGTTTAACCAAACACAGAACAAAGTATCCTTATTTGAAAGGGAGCTTAAATTGTTAAAATGAAGGACCAAGCTACTTTACAAGGGGAGATGATCAAGAAAAGCTGAAAAAAGGGTGGGGTCATTAAAAAATCTTCTCAAGAACCACTGGGCCAGAAAAGATAAAGCTTACTGTGGTACATTCATAGTGCTCAGGATTTTTCAAAGTAAATGCACTGAGTTCCAGTTATTGCCCATGTTTATTTTGCTACATTGCCAATATATGGAAGAAATTCTATCATTAAACATGGAAGAAATTCTATCATTAAACCGGGTCCATAGGACAATATTATTTTTTCGAAAGAAAATTCTGTTTACATATTATGAAGGTGAAATCTAACTTGATGGGAATTTTTGTAAAAAGTCTAAACAATTCAGTTGGAAAAGGGTGAACAACTCGAGTAAAATATCTTGACATCAGCACTAAAGGAGATGAGCAAGACAATTAACTTATAATATAGTAGAATAAATATTAGTAAAACATGAGTGACAACTACATTTTTCCAATACCTTGATTAATCTTTCAGAATATTATGATGAAGATGAAGTCTATGGGCATTCTTATGATGACAGCTACTGTGTTTCACCAGCAACAGGTAAGGGAACAGAGGTTACTATACCATTGATTGATGCATTTAACAGACTTGTAACAAACTTGTACAATTTGAAAAGATGAACTAATTAGAGTCAGTTAAAACATACTTAAATTATTATGCACTCTGAAATGTATACCAGTAAGAGATGGGTAATTGTTTTGTGTTCTGTAGCTGCCCAGTTCACATTCAACAGAGAGAGAGATGTCAACTTGTCTTCTTATATGGAGGAGGGAATTCCCGAAGAGGAAGATGAAAGTGAAAGTGATCTCGAGCCACTGAGTGATTCTGGGAGAGACAAGATTAAACTTGATGACATTGAACAAGGTTATTCATTTTACTTATACTGGTTTTTAATTTCATCTATATCTCAAATTAAAGATGTGAATAATTGAAATTAAAACCTCACTCAGTATATATACTACTGCTGGAATATTAAAAAAAAGTTGTAATGAGGTATTTGTGGTGTATCACTGAGCAGAATGATGAAAGGTACATACAAGGTGTACATGTGAAATCAATTTTCATTTGCATGCTTTGTATCTGATCATTTTATTTTTTTTTTAATTACAAATGATGAGACATAATTAAGAATAAGTCATTTTAGATTGATTTGTATACAGAGATTCCATCAAAAGCTTTATAATGGACTGATTGGGCGATACTTTTGCACGTAGACTGTTTAAATGGCTTACTCTGCAGTTTCTACATTTATACTAATTAAGACAAAATAAAATAAAGAATTCAGAAAACACATTATCATTTGAATTTTCACTAGTATACCACATGTACCAAGTCTGAAAACATGTCTCCAAGTGGCAACTGTGTTTCTTGGTACCTAAAATAAAAGACAGTCTTATAAATCAGAAAATATATAATTTCCTAGCTAGATCAAATTATTTAATTTGTTTCCTGTACTCTTATTACAGCAAAGCTGAACTCTTGTTTGGAGGAGATAGGAAATGTCCTAGGGGATACCATTCCAGAGCACATTGTTTCCCAGGCCATTGTAAAACATAAATACAACATCCAGGCTGCCTTGAATGAACTCTTAAATCAGAACGGTATATGATGGCATTTAAAAACTATTACAGAGAAATTAGTGAAAATAAATACCCAGTAACAAAAAATATTGCAGAAAAAGAAAAAAAAAATAATTTTGCATTTTTAGGTCACCTGAGTAAACTCAGGTGACCTATTGCTATCCGTTTTTGTCTGTCGTCGTACGTCGTTCGTAAACTTTTGAACATTTTTAGCTTCTTCTCTGGAACCACTGAACCAATTTCAACCAAATTTGGTATACAGCATCTATGGGTGAAGGGGAACAAAAATTATGAATTTCATGGTCCCTGCCCCCCTGGGGCCTGAGGGGTGGGGCCAAAACCTCTAAAATTAGTGCAATCTTTAAAAATCTTCTTCTTTACTCCTGGACATCAAGCAGTCAAACTGTTGACATGATTGTAATGAGCATTGAGTCCTCTACCAAAATTGTGAAATTCATGGCCCCAGGGTCAGGGGTTCTGGTGTTAGGGCGGGGCTATATAGATCATATAGTAAAAGTTCATTATTTCTTTGAAAATCTTCTCCTCTGCTCCTAGGTATTAAACAAACTAACCAAGATCATAGTTATGATGACCGAGAGTGCCTCTTCGAAATATGTGAATTTCATGGCCCCTGGGTCAGTGGTTCTGGTGTTAGGGCGTGGCTCTATTGATTATATAGTGAAAATGCATTAATTCTTTGAAAATATTTTTCTTTGCTCCTGGGTATAGTGCCAATGATCTAAGAATATATATTTATGATGAAGAAAGGTGCATCCAGTAAAATGGTTAATTTCATCCCCCTGCTGATCTGGCATCAACCTCTGGGCTCAGAAAATCCACTCCTCTTTCGTACTCATATGTGGAATACTGGGTCAGGGGTATCGATGGGTGGGGTGGGGGTGGTTGAAAGTTGTTACATGATACTCAGGTGACCTATAAGGCCCGTGGGCCTCTTGTTTATATATAAAAAGGTCTCTGTGATGCCAAGTATTTGATTTTAATTTAATGTGAACTTTAACATTTTCATTATAGCTGCATTGTTTTATTGTACATTTTTTCAGAGGCACCAAAACCACAGAGACAGCCAAGGCAGGACAGGAGAACAAACAGACAAGGTGACTATATTTATCAGAAATTCTCACAGTAAGCATTAAAAGGAATGCCAGTATCACTATTGTAAAATATTCCATTCAAAGAATATTTACTTTCTTTTAGCCAATAGATTTAGTTTGCTTGTAGCTTCTTAAACCATTGCTTAACATTTTGCCCTCCTTTTTTTCATGACCTTTCTTGACCTCTCTACCTGTTGGTGATTGGCTGCATGTTTTCTTCACCTGATCCAATGGAATTTGTTGGAATTGGTGGTGCTTTGTGTAATATTTGGCGATGGTAAGGTAAGATGATGATGATGATGATTTTGATAGCTTTTTAGAATCTTTAGAAACTGATGGCGAATGCAGCAATATATTTACAAGTCAAAGTGCAATGTCTCCAAAAATTCTAAAATTTGGTTCATCTCCCAAAGTTGATAACATTCCAACAAATAAACAAGCATTAATGCAGGGACAAATATCAAACATATCTGATTCTGAGGTAAACTCAAAAACGTGTAAGGGAGCTTCAGAAAAACAAAAAAGTCCAAGAGTGGAAAAGGGCGATTTTGAAATTACTTCAGAGGTAAAAAAGCAAGGAATTTCACTTGCTCAACTTGCAGCTGAACATAAAAAGCCTTCTCTGTCACAGCTTGCAACAGCGAAAAAAGAAGATTCCATTGCCCAACTAGCATCAGAACAAAAGGCATTGTCTTTGACTCAACCTGCAGAAGAAATGAATTCATTGACTAGCCTAGCCTTTAAACAGAAAGGTTCATCACTTACACAGCTTGCTGCAACACACAAGGGAAATATTAATCCAGCGGGGAAAAATCCCTCACTAGCAGAGCTAGCTGCAAAACAGAAGGAATCATCAACCCCATCAAAAGTATTAGGAGTGTCTCTTGCTGAGACTGAGACTAAAAAGCCAATGATGTCTCTAAGTCAGCTCGCCTCAAAAGAGAAGGGGATATCTTTAGCCCAGCTTGCTTATAAAGGAAAGGATACATCTTTAAACCAGCTAAAGAAAACACCAGAAGATTCCTCTGTAGTTACAGCCACAGATAAACCAAAAATATCTCTAGCTCAACTTGCTAAAGCACAAAAACAGGGACCCCTCTCTGTTCGATCAGAAGCAGCAGTTGAAGACCAGTTGTCCACAGATCAAAAGAAGAGATCTCTAGCAGACCTGGCTACAAAGCAGAAAGGTTTATCTGGGGTTGGAGCAAAACAGGGAGAAAAAGCAATGTCTCTAGCACAGCTCACATCAAAAGGCAAAGTCTCATCACAAAGTACTGGGGTTTCTTTGAGTGAGCTTGCTAAACAAAATGAACAAAAAGGAAGCTCAGCAGGAACTCTTAGTCTCAGTGAACTTGCAAAGCAAAAGAAAATGAAGACTGGAGGCAGCAATGATTCAGGATTAAAGAAAATGCCAGCAATATCTAACAGTACTCAGTCTAAAAGTATTCCATCGGAGAACATTTCACTCAAAGAGTTGGCAAAGGAAACGTCAATGAAGGGTCCTTCAAAAGCATCAAAGGAAAATAACTTGGATGTACAGCCAGAGAAAACTGATTTGAATACAGAGAGGAAATCAGCAGAAGATATTATCATTGAAAAGCTGTCCTTAGACTTTGATACTTTGGCAACTATAACCAAGAAGCCTTCTTTTGTTGGAAAAGTGATTTGTGGAAACTTTGCTATACTGAAAAAGAAATTAAAGAGTAATGATTACTATACCAATCAGCCATTTTCATTTGTGAACCAAAGACAACACACTGGTCGCCATTCACCAGAACAACAAAAGAGATTTCCTAGTTTTGATTTTTCTACACAATCCCCAGATGATATCATTAAAGAAAAGCAGAAGAAAGCTTTTACTCGTTCAGGGCAAAGAGTGGATTCCAAGTGACAAAATGACATTCCCTTAATTAATACTCCAAATCTAATCCGTCAAAATGAACTCTTTTAACTCTAAAGAAGAATAAAATGTGTGTCAGCATATAATTAACTTTAAAAGCATAATGTCTACAATGAAATTAAGAAGTTTAAAAACTATAAAACTTAAAATAGTCTGATGTGATTAGTGAACAAAAAAAAATTTCTTTTGCAAGAGTAAATATAAAAGAAATGCTTTGTAATTTGATTTTAAGATTGTATTTATTATTTTCTTTACTGTAGATTTATAATTTAATTCAACTGATTCAATATATGGAAATATGAAATGTAAGGAGTGGAAATATATTTAATTTACAAATAGATTAAATGAAATAAAAATGTAAACAGTAAAATGAAATGAATTTATGTGCACCTATATTTATTTATGACTTTGTACAGTATATATTTTTCATTTGTTTTTTGTCTTTCTGTATTTTTATACCACTGAATTGATAATTAAAGGCAGCATTCTGATTTGTCTGTTTATTTGATGAACATATTTGAAAAGGAGGGAATATATAATTCACAAATATCATTGTCAGTAGTTGTACATATATTACATATACCTATGAAACAAACTTACCAAACTGGAAAATGTTGGATCTATTGAATGAATGCAACAACTTTGATTATCAGGCCAGAGATACACATCTGTAGCTGGTAATTTAACAATTCCTTTTTCATCATTTGAATACCTGCATACATTCTTGTTGGTATAACTGAGTTTTGGACTCATGGACCCATTGTCAACTGGATCGATCTTCATTGATTGTTTTGACGCTGTCCACTACAGTCTCTGGTACACTGTCTGGACTGATCAAGTCCCAGTCTGAAAAGACTCGGATCTCAGTCCGTTCTTCTGGAGTCTCTGCTGTACATAGCACTTTGTGTGATTCAAAAGGGGAAAAAAATCCTCAATGTACTTATCCATCTTCCATTGAATTGACTGGGAGGATGTAGAATCAGCATCACGTTAGAGAGTCCATGGAGAGGACTTATATAGGCAATGCCTGCTGTCCAATCCATAATAAATTATTGTTTAAATGAAATCAACATCACTTTCCAAATAAGAATTAGAACTGTAAGTTGTTCATAATCAATGAAGTCAAAAAAATAAAGCATTGGAAATAAAAAGGAACTATTACATCATTTCTTTAGTTATTTCATGAAGTGTGTTTTTCCCCACTTTCCTCTCTTGCATTCTGTTGATAATGGCTGTTCATCATGTTGAACAAGAGAGAATAGGTATATTACCAGGTAGGTAGGTGAAATTATTTGTAGTAATACATATAATTTCATAAAGACTTTCCAGGACACAATTTTTCAATTTTCAAATAACATTTTTTTTCCACTAAAGAATATTTGGTTTTAGATTAAATTTGATGTTCAATAGCTTTATTAAACATAAAAGGACTTGCTTGAATTTATGTGGTGTGTATAAAAAGTAATTACACTGTACATAAGAGTTAATTCTATTAAGGGAAGTTAAGAAAACAAATGTGTTCTATATATCGTACTTCACAAAAATTTTCAGTTTTTGCACCAGTTCAACCAACAGTTCAATTGAAAACACCAGTCAAAAAAAGTCCAACACCAGACTTAGCCAATACCACTTCTGCCACCTCACAGATGAAACTGGAATCCACTGCAGAACCTAGTGTCAAAATCCTAGTCAATGACACCAAATCGGTTCCTAGTGCTGTTAAAAATGGTGTGAAAGAATTGAGGACTAACGTTGGAAACTTAAAAGTAGACACTGAAGTGACCTCTAAAAACAAGGACAGTAAAAGTACGGTAGATGTCAACCTTAAACCTGTGAATTCAGAGGTGGATTTAATTGCTGATCTGACTGGGAAAAGTGAACTACTTGCTACCCCCAGCAAATCAACCACTGGCATCCCAGCAACACCAAAGAGTACCTCAAAGTAAGTCATAGGACAATTTCCTTCCTGTGTATATTGAAATTGTCAGCAAAAGAAAGGGTGAATGTGGTGAAATTTAATTGGCCAACAATGTTGTACTTTGAATTTGTCATATTTTTATTTACACAGAATGAAACAAGATAAGGCAAAATTAAAGGAAGAATTTGAGAAGAGGAAGAGTGGAAAAGATCTACTAAACTTAGTTGTTATAGGTAAGGAATTGATGCAAAATTTCAGAGGGTTTGTATATGAATTGACTTGAAAAGGAAGTACTGTATACAGGCTTATTTTCACTCTCACACTTTCAAACAATTTTGCCGCATTTTAAATTCACCTTTACAAAGTTGTGTGAATGAGGTAATACTGTTTGATTTTAATTCACCCGTTTATTTTGCCCACTTGCAACAAGGGTGAAAGAAGAAAAAATACAATGTGCAAAATTTTCAGTGTACAAAAAAATGTGCCAAACTTTCAAAAAGTATAACTCCAGCAACATTCTACCATGTACACTGGCACTTAATACCTCCTTTTGTCACAGGTCACGTAGATGCAGGTAAGAGTACACTGATGGGGCACCTGTTGTATCAGTTAGGGGTAGTCAACAAGAGGGCCATGCACAAGTACGAACAGGAGTCCAGGAAACAGGGAAAAGGATCATTTGCCTTTGCCTGGGTCCTAGATGAAACAGAGGAAGAAAGGTTAGAAAGAAGAAATATTTCATGTAGTAAATTTTGATTGGGTTGATTCTCATATAAGCCTGTAACCCTTTACTTTAATATGTTAAAATCCTGTTGAGCACTAGATGATTTGTTAGTTTATTTACAATCTCAATTTGTACCTAAATTTCAGGACAAGGGGAGTAACTATGGACATTGCTCAAACAGCATTTGAGACTCCCAACAAGCAGATTACATTATTAGATGCACCTGGACACAAAGATTTTATTCCAAATATGATAACAGGTAATAAACATTTATATTTTGTGATGAATGAACAGATGGATGGACAGAAGGATGGAAGACTGACATGAAAAAGAGTAAAAGACAATATGCCATGGTGATATGACTGGAAAAAAATCTAGATATGAAAAGACATTACTAAAAAGTTATGTAATAAAATAATGAACTAATTAATTCTTATTTTATAGAGTTTTACATTTGTTTCAGGGACTGCCCAAGCTGATGTTGCCATTCTAGTTGTCAACGCCACACGAGGGGAGTTTGAGACAGGATTTGAATCAGGGGGTCAGACTAGGGAACATGCTCTCTTGGCTCGATCACTAGGTAGGCAGGAAAGGATACTTAGTGTCATTGAAAAATTCTAGATACATATACATGTTTAATACATAAAAATTAAAATATTCTTTGTGACGGCAGGTTAATATTTGAATGTTTTTTCATACACACAGGAGTGTCACAGCTTATAGTTGCTGTCAACAAGATGGACACGGTAGATTGGTCACAGAGCCGTTATGATGACATTGTGAAAAAATTAGGCCAGTTCTTGAAGCAAGCTGGCTATAAAGACACAGATCTGTCCTATATTCCATGCAGTGGTCTAGGTGGGGAAAACTTGGCTAAAACAGTCACAGAACCAAAACTAGCATCCTGGTATAAAGGAAGCACTCTAGTGGAACAGATAGGTAAGTTTTCTGCACACAAGTTTTTACCATTTACAGCAAAACTCGCTTAGTACGAACACGGATATTGCAAATTTACGGATATAGCAAAGTTATCTTGGATCCCCAGTTATATAGATTTAATGAATTTCTTATACGGTTATAACGAATTACGGATAAAGCGAAGTAATTTCATAGGTCCCAGAGACTTCGTTATAACCGAGTTTTGCTGTACACCTAGATTCTGATAATTATGGTTTTATTTATGCAAAAAATACTTTCTTTGGTTGTTGGAATGGGAATTCATGAAGCTAATGCAGAAAAAGTATATAACCCATATAAGCTGGTAGGTTGGGACAACAATTAGATGTCAAATCTTTACCACACCACCACTTATCCTCTTCGTGCTTCCTGGCACCTAAGGTCTAGAATGGGAGGTCAAATCTCTATTCGGAATATATTGGGAAAAAATCACTTAAAATGCTTTTTTATTTTGCAGATAAGTTTAAGCCAGTTGAACGGTCAATGGATAAGCCTTTCCGTCTGATTATCAGTGATGTTTTCAAGGGACTGGGGAGTGGATTCAGTGTGGTGGGTCGAGTCAGCGCGGGGTCAGTCCAGTCTGGAGACCGAGTTCTAGTACAGCCAGCAGGGGATCTAGCTGTTGTTAAAGGTATAGAGTGTATGTGTTAGGTGGTTGATTTGTATTAAGGTTTGAATAAATGGAAATATGCACTGTCCTTAAATATGCAATCACTGAATTCCTTAAAACCTGAAACCATATGAGAATAAAGATTGTGCTTTAAATAGTAAAGAATATTGTTGCAATCAGTAAAACATTTCTTAGAAGAAAATGCCAGGTATGGATGCTTTAACTTTGGTATAAAGGTGATGTGGTTATACATGTATCTGTTAAATTTGCAATGTATTAAAAAGTTATATATGTAGAATGAAAATCTTTTGCTGTAAGTGTTAATTCATTATATTAAAGCATGATTGAATATTTCAAGGATTAACAGAAAATTTGTTTCAATGTTAATTTAACTTGTTTGATAGGAGCAGGTATAGATATTACAGTGTATTTTTGGTAATTTAATTGTAGGGGTGTCTATGGAGGATTCTGACAACACTTGTGGTTTTGCTGGAGACCATGTTACAGTCATTTTAACTGGAATGGACATGGCTCATGTCAATGTTGGTAAGACAATGGGATTCCTAAAAAGGGTGTTCATATTAATGATATCATGTTAGAGAATCCATTTCTAAAGTAACAGTTTTTAATCTAGTTAATAGTGGTGAACAATTGCAAGTTGATGACATTTACGAATTAATTGAAGAAATATCAAATGATTGTATGTATATTCATGTTGTTTTGAAATAATGTTCAGGAGAGTTTATTTCATTTGGCAGGAAGTGTCTTGTGTGATCCTCAGAATCCCATAAAAAGTGCCATAAGGATAAGGGCAAGGATTGTCATATTTAACTTGGAATTACCCCTGACAAAGGGATTTACGGTGAGCATTGATTATACATGTTATATTTGGATTTTTACAGCACTTTAAAGTAAAAGAGGGTTGACAATACCAATTAATTGACAGAAAATGTTACAGAATGAGTACACCGTGTTGCACAGTTGATAGAGTGTTTGATCTAGAGTTATAAAGTTGGCAATTAAATCCTCTTTGCATGTTCCTATCCCACTACAGGATGTTGAGACTGGTCCTTTGGATGAGACCATATCAATTGAGGTCCCATGTTTCTGGCATGGAAGAGATCCTTCACTGCTCAATGGTCCTGAGTGCCAAGTATATGTCTAAAATTTGCAGCCCTTCACCGCCAAGTGGTGATGTCTTGATATGAGTGAAAAATTCACAAAAGGGACATTCACAAGCAAATACTTAACATTTATTATACTGAAGGAAAGACTCTAATTCTTGACCAAATTATTCGATTATAACCTGGTTTGGGTCAGTTTACGCTTTATAATCGGCAAAGCGGATTATAAAAAAGCATAAACTGACCCAAACCAGGTTATAATCGAATAATTTGACCAAGAATTAGAGTCACTCCTTATAATTTAATTCTAATATGATTAAACAACTGTGGGTGTAAAATGGTGCTGCTTTTTATGAGTTCAAATTTGCCACTCAATAATACATCTCTAGTAACGGAAGTGATATGAAACAAGGGGAGGTAATACCTGATACATAGATCTAGCTGCCATGATGTTCGTTTACATGAAGTAAGATCGAGCTACTGTTTGAAGTTAAAGGTACATTTATTAAATCTGGAATTTTCCATGAATCCCAAGGACTGGAAATGAGGGGATTGCATGGATACAGATGATTCAGCTGGTTGTCAAGGGGGTGTGTCCCCATACCAAACCAGGCTATTTAGAAATAATTTGCATTCCTGTTTGGAAATCAGCCAATGAGAGACTAGAATACAAACAAAATTAAATTATTTACTCATATACATGTAATAGAATTTATGCATGTTGAATGACCAATTTATGGGGTTTTTTTTTTTTAACCTCTTTGCTATTTAGGTTGTGTTCCATTATCAGTCTATCACAGAACCAGCTGTGATAAAACGTCTCAACAGTCAACTCAACAAAACCACAGGAGAGGTCATTAAAAATAGGCCCAAGTAAGCAAGTCAAAATAAACCTCTTTTTTTTTTTTAAAGCTTCAATTTTCTGACATAAACCTTAAATGTAAGAAATTGTTACCATTTTTGGGAAGATTAATGTTGCATCATGACTTTTTATCATGTTGTAACTTTCAAAGATTTTATTGAATACATGTATTTGAAATGATTTTAAGTTATCAACTAAGTAATTTTTCTATGGTGAAATGTTTTCTGATAAAAATCTTTTGTTTGTAGGTGCCTTGTTAAAAACAGCAGTGCTGTTGTGGAAATTGAATTTGTCTGTCTGTCTGTAAACAATTTTTCAAAATGCTTTTACAGTTTTGGTCTGATTTCAATATAACTTGGCACACAAGTAGACTACACTAAGATACATAATTTTGTGTATCGGTTTTTGATTTCGATAAACGGTGTTGCCGTGGTAACTAAAAATAGAAATTTCTGTAAAATTGTTTCAAAATGCTACTCCTCCTACAGTTTGGGTCTGATTTCAATATAACTTGGCACACAAGTAGACTACACTAAGATATATAATTCTGTTGATCGGATTTTGATTTCGATGAAAGATGTTGCCGTGGTTACTAAAAATAGAAATTTCTGTGAAATTGTTTCAAAAAGCTACTCCTCCTACAGTTTTGGTCTGGTTTCATTATAACTTGGCACACAAGTAACTAAAAGATACATAATTCTGTGTATCAGTTTTTGATTTCGATAAACGGTGTTGCCATGGTTACTAAAAATAGAAATTTCTGTGAAATTCTTTCAAAATGCTACTCCTCTTACAGTTTTGGTCTGATTTCAATATAACTTGGCACACAAGTAGACTACACTAAGATACATAATTCTATGTATCGGTTTTTGATTTCGATAAACGGTGTTGCCGTGGTTGCTAAAAATAGAAATTTCTGTGAAATTCTTTCAAAATGCTACTCCTCCTACAGTTTTGGTCTGATTTCAATATAACTTGGCACACAAGTATATACACTAAGATACATAATTCTGTGTATCGGTTTTTAATTTTGATAAACGGTGTTGCCGTGGTTACTAAAAATAGAAATTTCTGTGAAATTGTTTCAAAATGCTACTCCTCCTACAGTTTTGGTCTGATTTCAATATAACTTGGCACACAAGTAGTAAACACTTAAGAACACAAGAAGACCTTATCAATGATCATTATTCTATTTATTGCTGTTGTAAAGTTTCAATTCCCAACTGCTTAAGTACTTTTCTCTTCCTTTGCTACAAGTACAAACGAGTAGAGCTTCAGTCTCGACAGAGACTTCTGGTTCTATGGTGAAATGTTTTCTGATAAAAATCTTTTGTTTGTAGGTGCCTTGTTAAAAACAGCAGTGCTGTTGTGGAAATTGAATTTGAGCGACCTGTCTGTCTAGAAATGTATAAAGATTTTAAAGATTTAGGGAGGTTTATGTTACGGCATGGGGGTCATACAATTGCTGCAGGACTAGTAGAAGAGGTAAGTTTGGAATATTATTTGTGAAAACAGAAGAGAATGTTTTGACTAAATGAATCATAATTTGTTAAGCTTTTCATGTAGTAAATGTAAATTTTTAGGATATACTAGAATCTTTATTGCGTGGATTGTGCAGCAAAAAGTCTAAATATTGATGGTGACTTTAATCTTTGGCTACAGTTTGTTTTAGCTGTTGTTTCTATTGAAGTTGTTAAATGTTAGTAATACATGCAAATGAGTGTTTCTTTATTCATTACTCATAGGTAACACAACCTTAACTTTTGACCTGGAAATGAATAAAAAACATTTACAGTATCTCTATCGAAATGGCTTATTGATTCCAAACATTGCACATTAATGAATCAGGGTTAATTGTTGTCAGAAACGTATCTGTATTCATATTTGACAGGAATTATTTGATAAAATCTTAAACAAATTATGACAAGATGTTTTAAAAAATTGTCATTCGAGTTCATCTTGGTCTTCTAGTGAATGTATTAAATGCCTTTTAAGGATAACACAAACTTGTATTTGATCATGCTAAAGAGAGCTAAAATAAGGTATTTAGATGTTTGTTAGTGAAATTTTATTTTGACAGAGGAATGAGCATTAGATACATGTATATATACTTGTACATATGTACACATCTTTAAGAATAGCAAACTGAGTTTTATGATATGGTGATCTGATCAGTAGTATGTTGTGGTTTTTAAAACCGAAGTGAAAACAGGTAAGAAAAGGCAAAAGTGGGTATTAGTGAAACCCAATCTCCATTCATAGACAATGATTTGCAATCCAAACATTCTTTGATTTCATTAAGGACACACACAAGGTACCTTACCTACTGATAATTTTTCAAGATATTCTTAATTTACGATTATTGTGCCATCAAATATTCATAGACAAAAAATCAGTATGCATTACCAGGGGTTATTGGTAAGATATCAAATTACAATGTGTATGAAATTTTTTGCATCATTCACAGAAAAATTTATAAAAATTACAACATTATTTCCTGTTTTTTTTTCCCCCATCAAAATTTGTTCTAGAAGAAGTGTACAAATCCATATAAAGACATTAAAAGTACTGCACACAGGTCCTTTATTTAGTGGAACTCTTCAACTCCAGGGAAGAGCCCAATAAAGTTCAAACTACGTTGCGTATGACCTTAAGAATGTGTTTTTGAAACTATATCTGATGTTGTTTATATCTTTTAAAATAAGTATTTTTTATTGCAGGTATTGAAAACAAAATCAAAAACAGATGAAAATTCACCAGAATGACAGTTTTTCCAAGAAGCTAATCTTGACATTTTGAGACTTTGTCTCGTGCTTATCAGCTCTTTAGGGCCTTGCCAGATAATTCATTCAAAAGTTTTGCTTCTTAATTTATTCAAAAGAAAAGGGCCACACAACCATTTTTATTTGGTCATTCTTGACTTGCTTAAACATGCTTACCAGCCTTACCTTCATCTTCCTCAGTTGTTTATTCTATTGACAAAGTCAAATTACTGAAGATAGTTTCAAATGACACATTTTTTTTCTTTTCTTTTCTTTTTTTTTTTTTTATAAAGGGAAATTAAAAGATAATTTCCTGGAAAAAAAAACTAGAAAATTTTATTTTGTGATTAATTGCATTTTAACATTCTTTTAAATGTGCATGTAAATTTAAATCAGTACCCTGATACATGTATGTATTTAATGATATTATTAATTTTAATTTATTACGTGCATTTTTCATTTTCAATCTGCCTGCCATCGTACATTATTTCAGTTGCATAAACAGCTAGTTTAAAGTTTTCACTGTTACGCAAATCAAGGCATTGTTCAGTGTTGCCATTATTATTTATAATTCTATATCATGTAAACAGTGGAAGAGAGCAACAGATACATGTATAACTCAGTTTATTTTTCAGGGATAGAAACATCAGCTTATAATTTACATTTAAAGTAAAATGAGTGAGCAGTTGGTGTTTTAAGGGTACACTCTTAAAATGGAGTTGGTATTTATAAACTTTTAGTCTTTGAAAATGCAGATTTCATTTCAGAGATGAACTTTCGATTATGCCCTTGGTTGTTTGAATTTGAATAAAATGTATTTCGCCTAATTTATTTACGATTTGTTTTTCTTTTTTGTATACGTTCAAGGCATGTTTGGGATTACATGTATTGTGATACATGTATTGAACTTTACTAATCAAAATTTGAAGTATTGAAATGACATTTTTTAGGACCCCATTCTGAGGGAAGCCTGTAGTGATCAATCTGTCCATGTGTCCACACGTCTGTCTGTCTGTCCATCTGAGATCTCTTTGTTCAGGGCATAATTTCTCTCTCCTTGGCCCAATCTTGCCCATACTTCACACACAGAGTGCCTTTGGATAAAGAGTGAACAGTGATCTTGAACCATGTTTCTAGATCAAAGGTTAAGGTAATAGGAGAATTATATGAAAAATCCTTGAGTTGAGCATATTTTCTCTCCTCTTGGACTAATGTGGCTCATACTTCACTCACAGAGTGCCAATGGTCAATGGATGTGCAATGACCTTGAACAAAGTTTCTAGGTCAAAATCAAAACCCTTTTCAGCTACCTTATATTTTCATGTTCATTGCTTGAGGTGATGACCTTCTAGATGATATCTAGTTTCCCATGTGTAAATGAAATTTAATTCAACAGAAATTCTAGGATAATTGGTGATTGGTTGAAAGACCAAGAATCATTTGAAAAAATTTTATGCCCCCATATTTAAAGATTCGTGGACATAAGAGTTTTTGTCTGTTGGTTGATCTGTCTGTCCTCAAAAACTTTAATCTTACCCAGAACTTGTGATAGTTTGGAACAATTAACTTTCATATTTCACAAGTGTATTCCTTGTGACATGACCTTTTTTTAAGTACCAACATCTTTAACTTTTAAACTTGGCCTTGGAGTTTGACCCACTTTGATAAATTTTACAAAACATGAACCATGGCCGTAACTTTTGAACAGTTGGGGCTCAAATCTATTCAAGGTACCAACAATTTTGACTCTGACCTTGGTTTGATGTACTTTTGAAAAACTTTAACCTTGTCCATAACTTAGATTGGTGCTAGAGCTTTCATACTTCACTTGTGTATTTTGTATGAGAACACATTCCCTTGGGTTCCTTCAATTTTGGCCCTTTAACTTTGAGAGAACAGTTAATACAGAGCAAATATCCTTCAGGGCAATCAAGGTTCTTCAAAATACATTTAATATGAACAAGATGTGTTTTTGAATCATGGATACCCCCATTTGACAGCTTATTGTGGAGGTTCTTATTAGACAAAATCAATAGAATTGTTGTTACCCCCAAAAAGGCCTTGTAACAAGGAATGCACCTGTGATAAATGTGAAAGCCATAGCTTTTACGGTTCCATAGTAATGGCCAAGGATAAACTTTTTCAAGAGTAGGTCAAACTTTAAGGTCAAAAATGGTGCCTAAAGTATGGTCTAGTCACAAGAGGTCAAAAGTTATGGTCAAGGATAAAGTTTTTCAAAAGTAGGTCAGAATCTGGAGTAATGGTCAAATGGTGAAAATTGCCAGTATTCAAGGGAAACTCTTCTCTCAAGTGAACTTAACCCAAACAGTAACACATTCAGAAGTTAAGACAAACTTAAGGTAAACATTTTTTTTTTCAAAAGTGGATAAAACTTTCAGGTCAGATTGAAAGGTTCAAAATTGTTGGTACCCAATGGAAGATCTTTTCACAAATGAATGCAAATGTGAAGTATGAAAGCCCTTGCTTCATCTGTTAAAAGGCCAAGGTTAAATTTCGGTAAAATTTTCAAGAAGTAGGGAACTCCAAGGACACGTCAAAAATTTTGACACCCAAAGAAAGGACTTGTCACATGGAATTCACATGTGAAATATGAAAGCCATAGCTCAAGTCAATCAAAATGTATAGACAATGTTAAAGTTTTTGAAGACAAACAGATGGACGGACAAAGTAACAAGAGGCCCAAGGGCCTTGAATTGCTCTTCTGATAAATTGTACAATCTATCATTTCTATTAGAAGCCTCGAACTCTATAAGTATCATAAGACCCAAAATGCATCAACTGAAAAACTTTGATAATATTTAGCTAGTTAAGACTGAAGATATTATAATATAATTATAAAATACTATAAGTAGGTCACAGTGACCTATCTTTTGATTGAAATTTTCTGAGGACTCAAGATACATAAATTGACAAAGACTGATGATTTTAAGTAAATAAGTACCTGAAATATTCAAAAGTAGGTCACCATGACCTACTTTTTTGGTCGACATTCTTTGAAAACCCAAGATGCATCAACTGACAAAATTTGACCATTCTAAGCCAACAAGTACCAGAGATAATTAAATATAGCCATCAAATGTCAAAAGTAGGTCACGGTGACCTACTTTTTTGTCGATATTCTCCAAAAACCCAGGATGCCTAAACTGACAAAGTTTGATGATTTTAAGCCAATAAGTACCTGAGCTATTCAAAAGTAGGTCACTGTGTCTACTTCTTGGTCGACATTCTCCCATACCCTAAGATGCCTTAACTGACAAATTTTTATGATTCCGAGCCGATACATACCAGATAATTAAATATAGCCATAAATGTCAAAAGTAGGTCACATTGACCGTCTCTTTGGTTGACGTTCTCTGATAACCCAAGATGCCTTAACTGACAAAATTTGATGATTCTAAGCTAATAAATACCTGAGATATTCAAAAGTAGGTCACCATGACCTATTTTTTGGTTAACATTCTCTGAAAACCCAAGATGCCTCAACCGAGAGAGTTTGATGATTCTAAGCCAATAAGTGCCTGAAATACTTAAATATAGCCATAAATGTCAAAAGTAGGTCAACGTGACCTACTTTTCTGTCGACAATCTCCGAAACCCAAGATGCTTCAACTGACAAAGTTTAATGATTCTAAGCCAATAATTGCCCGAGATACTTAAATATAGCTATAAAATGTCAAAAGTAGGTCATCGTCAAAAGTAGGCCATCATGACCTACTTTTTGGTCGTCACTCTCTGAAAACCCAAGATGCATCAACTGACAAAGTTTGATGAAGCTACGTGACAATAAGTACCAGAGAATACTTAAATATAGCCACAAAATGTCAAAAGTAGGTACTTTTTCATCAACATTCTCTGAAAACCCAAGATGCATCAACTAACAAAGTTTGATGATTCTAAGTCAATAAGTACCTGAATACTTAATATACTTACCCGGTAAAATAAAATAAATATAAAATACTTAAATATAGCAATAAAATGTCAAAAGTAGGTCACCGTGACCTACTTTTTGGTCGTCACTCTCCGAAAAACCCAAGATGCATCAATTCACAAAATTTGATGATTCTAAGCCAATAAGTACCAAAAGATACTTAAATATAGCCATAAAATGTCGAAAGTAGGTCATCTTGACCTACATTTTGGTCGACATTTTTTGAAGTCCCAAGATACATCTACTGATCAAGATAGATGATCGTAGGTCTGAAGGTAATCAATATATGCCTTTTAAACAATCTGAAAACAAATGCCTGCAACATTCAAAAAGTAGGTCACAGTGACCTACTTTTTCATAAATACTGTAAACGTATTACATTTGGCCGTGTATTCTTTTTAGCGGCTTTGGCGGAACACAGCAACCGCTAAATCAAATACAACGCTAATTGTCTCACACATATACACATAAATAAGGAGACGAAGAAATGCGCTAAATCATATCTACGCTAACTTATTCAAAAATCAATTTCCGCGAAATATCGTACACGCTAAATATAATACATTTACAGTATGTTTTAAGGTCCCAAGATGCATCAACTTACAAGATTTGATTATTCTAAACCTCTCAGTGTCTGAAATAATGGGATTAGATGTTTTAAAATGATTAGTCATAAAGTTCAAAAAGTAGGTCATGGTGACCTACTTTTAAGTTGACATAGTTCAAGGACCCAAGATGCATCAACTGACAAAGTTTGATGATCATAGGCCTTAAAGTGTCCAAAATATGCCTTCAAATCAATTTGAAAACAAATGCCCACAAAATTTAAAAAGTACTTTTGAGTTTACATGATGTGAAGTCCTAATATGCATCAACTTACAAGATTTGATGATGCTAGTCCTTATAGTAAGCAAAATACGAATGTTCTTATTAATTGTAAACTTAGGTCAACTTTGAAGTGACCTTGAGACCACACTCTTTGCCCCAGGGTAATTCCCCGTGCAAATTTTAATCTTCAACATAACCTGATCCTTTTACGCACACCGCACAAATGGCCATAGCATTAGCTCTTTGAGCCTTTGGCTCAGAAGAGCTAAAAACGATATGAACATGAATCTTTGATCATGGGTAATAAAATTTTTTTATCATTATGTAATCTACTTTAATTCTTTAATGTACCTTTCAGTATAACATGAATGTCTCCACTGTGAAATGGCCAGGTTAGGATTTATTTTCTGCATGTGAATTTTATCAATGTACCTTTGTTCAAGTTGCAAACAAAAGAAAAACATCTTGTATGGTATATGACCTTCAATGGAGAAGGGAATTATAGAATTTAGTCACGTGACCAACTTCATGTCACATACTCCAAAAAATTCTAAAAATTATATCTTATTTCTTAATTCCCTTAATAATTTATAAATACACTAAGACACAAATAATAAACCTTTTCTGAACGTGACCTTGAGATTCTTTGTTTTATTGTGACTCAAGTTTGAACTTTTAATGATCCGTCCATATGAAGTTCAAATCCAGATGTGACTGCTAGCACAGACAGACAGGTATTCTGATGGACCGATGGACAAAGTGTTTCCTGCATACCCTCTTTATTTGCGGGGTATAATATATAAATCTCAAATGAAATTGTACTCAATAGAGAAAAAGAACTATTTCAAAATGTATTAAGATGCAGTTTATTTACTTTTACACAACTCGGATTCTTCAAATCAAGCTTGCAAAAATTCTTCTGTAGATAGATTCAAAATTCAAAGCAAAACAGATTTTAAAACAATACAAAAAGCCAAATATAAATCCAAGACAGGAAAACCTGTAAAAGTCTTTCCATCCCCACTTTTAATTGAAAATACGATTCTAAGCTTAAAGATGGACTAAAAAGAACACACAGTCAATCCAAAGCAATACAGGTACTCTATATACTCATAAATATGCTTGTTTATCAAATAATTAACAATTTGTAATCATATACATGTACTATGGTATAATATTCACTTCTGAAAGAGGAAACCTTTTTCAATAATAAGATTACTATCAGCCACTTCAAATGACTAGACTCCTGCTATGACCGGAAAATATGACTACCATGACAAAATAACCCTTAAATGCATTTTATCTACTTGTGAAAGAAAATAATAACCACACAGGTATTTAAATTGACCACAAACATCAAAATGCTTCCAGCATTTTTCTAGCAATACATGAAATTTTTTCAAACACAAAAACTAAAATACAATTTCAGCAATTTAACCAAAAGATTATGCAGGGTAATTTACCTAATCACCTTCTTAATTGCAAAAAAAAAGTTAATTATTATCATTGAATATATGGAGGTACACACACCCTCATTCTGACCACATAAAAAAATCTGCACTATATTCTGAGAAGAAATCTCTCTGGCAAACTTGGCACCCTATATATACATCATTTCTGCCATACTTGACATTTTCTTAGGAATATAGACAAAATCCTCGAAATAGCAGGCTAACTCATCCACTGTCATGTCGTCTAACCTGGCCTCCTGTGAACAGCTCCTCTCTAAATACTGATCAGAACCTCTGCTTTTTAGACTTTCAGAACTCACAGCTTTGGAAAAATAACTCGGGTCAGTTTTAGACCTAAAGTGGTGTTTATGGTTGGAAGATTTCAATCTCTTATGAAGACTGGCATTTTCTAAATCTGTTTCTTTTTCGCTAGCGCCCTGATTTAATGAAGAAAAGTTTTCGAGATTGGTATTACACCCTGCCCCAAAAAGAAAATTACTGTTTGTTGGACTGTCCAAAGCCCCTGACACAGGCAGCTTAGTTCTCTCCACGTGTAGGGGAATTTTCTCACTCGGCTTTCCTTGTTTCACTAGCTTTAATCGTGCAGATCTTATAATTTGTTTTCTGTCCTTTTCTGAGTGATGAAGTTTTAACCTAGCTTCCCTTATGTATTTACGTGGGGGTGGAGTGAAAGTGGCTACCTTGGCATAATTGTATTTCTTCTCTGGCTCGGCCTGAGATCTTTGCTTTGAACACATACACTGCTCGTTTTCACACTTTTCGTGATTTAGAGATATCTTCTGCATAGAAAATATGACCTCTTGTGGATAGGGTTCCATTCTCTTTGGAATTTTCTTTTTATGTTTAATACTATTTTGAACTTTAGCACCTTCTTTTTCTTCTGCAGTTGTACCAATCCTAAAAAAAATTTAGAATACACATATGATCAGGGAATGCTGATCATTCAATTTTATTTGAGCATAAGCATGATATACCTTCTTTTACAATTATTTTTTCTTGCTGCACCCCCTTCCCCCATTAACAATGATATGCACATGTGATCTCTAAACAAATTTAAAATCAGACTCTAAAATCAACATGTAAGATTTGAAAACATAGGTAATCAGAGATTACAGAGCTCACCTCAATGAATGTTGTCCTTAAGTAAGGCAAAGTCACACAATTAACCAACAAAAAGTGTACATCCAAAAATGCAAAATTTATGCAATTTTGAAATTTTGGAATAGACCTATATAAAAACTTAAAACTAGTTCTTCATCATGAAAATGTAATTAAAATCCAGCATCTGAAGCAAGATTGAGAGTTTTCATCCCTTGATGCATCATTTGTGCAACTTTGGTTTATATAAGCCTTATAGTTTCTTGGTGATAGACCTACACCCATAACTTTTACGAGGTCTATTATCTGGAAAATGTATGTCAAGTTCAGCATCTGAAGCAAGTCCATTAGTGTGCATCCTAAGATGTATCATCCATGCAAGTTTGTTCAACATAGAGCACAAAGTTACTTGGAAATGAAACCTGTATAAAAAACTAACCTTTTCACTAATACGGAAAATGTAGGTCAGATTCAGCTTCTGAAGCCAGCCTATTAGAATGCACCCTTAGATGTACCATCCATGCAAGTTTGGTCATTATAGGGCTCAAAGTTACTTGGAAATGAATCCTGCACCATAAACTTTAACCTGTTTACTCGTCCAGAAAATGTAGGTCAGATTCAGCATCCAAAGCAAGTCTGGTAGTATGCATCCTAAGATGTACCATCCATGCAATTTAGTCATTATAGGGTTCATAGTACCTTGGAAATGAAACCTGCACCAAAAATTTTAACTTGTTCACTCAACCGGAAAATGTAGGTCAGATTCAGCATCCGAAGCAAGTCTAGTAGAATGCATCCTAAGATGTACCATTCATGCAAATTTGGTCATGATATGTCTCAAAGTAACTTGGAAATGAAACCTGCACCAAAAACTTTAACCTGTTCACTCAACCGGAAAATGTAGGTCAGATTCAGCATCCGAAGCAAGACTGGTAGTATGCATCCTAAGATGTACCATCCTTGCAAGTTTGGTCATTATATGTCTCATAGAAACTTGGAAATGAAACCTGCACCAAAAACTTTAACCAGTTCACTCAACTGGAAAATGTAGGTCAGATTCAGCATCCGAAGCAAGTCTAGTAGAATGCATCCTAAGATGTACCATCCATGCAAGTTTGGTCATTATAGGGCTCATAGTATCTTCGAAATGAAACCTGCACCAAAAACTTTAACCTGTTCACTCAACCGGAAAATGTAGGTCAGATTCAGCATCCGAAGCAAGTCTGGTAGTATGCATCCTAAGATGTACCATCCATGTAAGTTTGGTCAACATAGGGCTTATAGTTACTCGGAAATGAGACCTACACCAAAAACTGCACCAAAAATGTTAACCTGTACCAAAAACATTAACCTGGTCATTCCTTTGCTGAAATTGCAGCATCTGAAACTTTGACTGGTACAATGAAATACACTAGAAGCATCTTCCATGCATGTCTAATCAATATAGGACATAGAAGTACTTAAAAAAAAAACTGCTCCAAAAAACTTAACCTTAACCCGGGACGCCGACGCCGACACCGACGCCGAGGGTATCACATAAGCTCCCCCCAACTTCGTTGAGGTGAGCTAAAAATGTTACAAATTATTTATGTAATTATTTAATAAGAACTACATACAAAGTTGTCCAAAAGGCATCTAATTTATTCCTGTCACTCTCCCCTGTAAGGGCCAGATCCTGCTCATATCTGCAAAGAAATAAAAGGTACAATTTGTCAATATTCTCAATATGGCGAATCTTCATAAAAATTGTAAGATGTAAACATTTTCTGTTTGTGATTTTATTTTCTTCAAATCAAACCGAATATATATTCTATCAGTAAGGCCAGGATTTTTTCATTTTTAGGTTTACGAACATCAGAATGAAAAAGTCCCGTAGGAGGAGGAAATAAAAAAAAAATAAAATTATATTTTGGATACATTATCGACTTTTCTACATTAATTTTTGCTTCTTTTTTATGCTCTTCTAAGAGGCTTCTTGCCACTGGACATATAAGGGTTACAAAGGGGAAAATACAACCTTTAATTGTTTATTTCATCATCTACCAGTTGGGGGCAGTGATATAAATCTTTTGATGTTGGACAAAATATCAGATTTTTTTTAAAAAATCAATTTTTTAAATCTCTTTTAATATGTCTTTATTTTTGTTTTTAATGTGTGTAAGGTAGAAATTATTCTAAAATATTAATATACTCGAGACCTATAAAAGTAATAATTCCTTTCATAAAACAGACAGGGACCGGAGTATTCCAAAGGAGTATTGAGGAGTAGGGTGGAATTTTTTTCAATTAAGTGTAAAATAATTTTTCTAGCTGCCATAAACGATATTACATGCCTGTATATATTTGTATATTCTTGTTTTTAAATAGTTGAAATATTTTATTTCTTTAGGCTATTGTTTATTTCTTCCTCAAATGGACTTAACTTCTCCCATAGTTTTATTCATTACATCTGATGCATAAGCGACCCTTTTCTGAAGAATGATGCTGAGACTGTAAGCTATGACAGAAACCTAAACAATGTCTCTGACAATAGCTACCATGTGCAGTTTTAAACCTGTGGGAGGAAAATAATTTACAATTACAGACAGTTACTTTTGAATACGGATACATAATTATCTCACCAACATGTCACTATGCAACAAAGTCGTCAGCATTTTATTGTTCTCTGAACGGGTGAAACGTTTTGAATGGCACTCCTATCGATAAATATTTACATTAAACCAAGCTTTAGTGCTGCTATGGACTTGACACAAATCTCCCTTCATTACCCGCCATGTTCATTTAAAACCGGAAGTACGAGTTCGTTAATTTGAAATCTCGATCCCGACTCAAATTTTACATCGGAAAGAAAAAATTCTGTTTTTCTCAATTTCATTTTTTTTCTGAAAATTCAAAAACTTGAGCGGCGGGTTTGTAAACCTAAAAATAAAAAAATGCTGGCCTAAGCTGTTTAGTGAGTGTTTACTGCAAATTAAGATTATTAATTAAAACATAGTACAATGAAAACCTAATAAGACATCTCTTCCTGGTTTCTCTCACAATTTACTGAAGAGATTGATGAACTTTTTTCTTTGAAAGTTACCTCAATATAAATTCTAATTCTATTTTTCTAGAATAAAAGTATCATTTGAAAATGCAAGATTTCAAGATGTGCATCGTCTTTTGATATGATAGAGAGTATGAAATAGCCCCAACCCAATCATCAATACACTGTATATGCATATTTGTTCACCAGGGGGAAATTTGTCACAGAATTGTGCATGGTTATTTCAACACACTGTTATACATCTCACATGGTATATATATATGCACTATCACAAATAGACAAATTTAATTGTGTCAATTTGATTGATGCACTGAAAATGTCAATTTGACTTACCTCCCAAGAAATTCTGTCTGCTCTTGTCTAACTTTTAAATTGCCAAATGCTGATGTTAACTGTATTTTAGTGTCTTCATTATCACCCATATCTGTTTCATGTCATTTGAAATATATCGAAAATATATATATATATATATATATATATATATATATATATATATATATATATATATATATATATATATATATATATATATATATATATACTAGTATATAAATTTATATACATGTATAAGAAGTATTTTGATATTTTAACAAAAAATCATGCTACTGTGTATTATACATGCAGTTCTGTTTTTCTTTCTCTTATACTTAACATTATGTGTGCTTTCCATAATATCAGTAAAAATAATCCTCTTTCCACAAATTTCAAGCATATTGTAAACAAGAGGCCAAGGGGCAGCATTGCTCACCTGGGCACATCAGCTGGGAAAAAGCACATAATCAAATCAGAACTGAAAGTTTACAGAGGTGGGGGGGGGGGGGGGGGGGGGGGGGGGGGCTTGAATATTAATACTATTTGAGAATGCCTTCATATTAATACAGCATATGACTTTGCTGTTCTTGATAAAAAGATTTCTTTTTAAACATTTTGTTCCTATATAGTACTTCATAATAATTTGAATCTGATTCCCCATTGTTTCCCTCCCTACCCCAAAGGGCCATGATTTGAACAAATTTAAATCTTCAATACATGAGGATGCTTACATGCCAATATGACTAAACATATCTTTTCTGTTCTTAGGATTTTTCTCTTTATTTTTCCATGTAAAACTTTGATCCCAACCTACCCTTGGGGGTTATATTGCTTCCATAGAAATACTAGTATCGCTAATCATGGCTTTGCTATTCTTAAGAAGAAGATTTTTTTCATATATATATATTATAATGTAAAACTTTGATCCCCCATTGTGGCCCCACCTTAACCTTGGGGGTCATGATTTGAACAAACTTGAATCTACACTACCTGAGGAGGATTCCATATAAATATCACTATAATCATGGCTTAGAAATACTTGAAAAGATTTTAAAAGTTTTCCCTATATATTCTTATGTAAAACTTTGATCAGCCATTAAGGCCCCACCCTCCCCCTGGGGGTCATGATTTGAACAAACTTAAATTTACACTACCTGAGGATGATTCCACATGAGTTTCATCTTTTCTGGCCCAGTGGTTCTTGAAAAAAAGATTTTTTAAAAATGCCATTGATTTTTCTCTAGTTCATAATCATCTCCCCTTGGAAAAGGGTGTGTCCCTTCATATGAACAAACTTGAAGCCCCTTTACCCAAGGATACTTTGTAGCAAGTTTGGTTGAAATTGGCCCAGTGGTGCTTGAGAAGAAAATGAAAATGTGAAAATTTTACAAAAACGACGACGACAGACTACGGACAAATTTTGATCAGAAAAGCTCACTTGAGCCCCTTGAGCCTTCGGCTCAGGTGAGCTAAAAACTAAATCCCTTCAAAAAAGTTTTAAATTTGCACAGAAATTGTGAATGAAAATAAAACTCTATATTTTGAAACATTAAATCAAGAATTACAATGTCAATACTCCCACATGTCAGATTTCATAAAACCAGTGTTTAATGGGCAATATAAACCAAGAAAATATTGGTTAGTGCAACTACATGCACTTGTAAAACACTTTGAAATAATCACCATTTTATACTTATTAAATAGTTAAATAGTTGGTGATAAAAATCCTATTCCAATATTCCTTCACCAGTGCTATAATTCAATAAAAATAAAAAGATGTTTAAAAGAAAAGATTTATATTAACTAAATATCATATAAATACATGTATATAAAAATGTTCTATACTTATAAATTTATAAATTTTACAGTTAAAATTGGAAATACCTATACCTTAGTTACTGGTATCTGAGAAAACTCCTCTAATATAAAATTTACACTAGGTATACAATGATCTTCATATGTTTTACTTGCACAGTAACTTACTATAATTATTGTTAATTTAATCAAAAACCTGCAGCAACTTTTCTTTTGGAAACAGTGAAAAAAAAATATTAAGGTGATTATGGTTGGAGGATCTACGTTTTTACCAACAGTGAACTTAAAATGAAAATGATTTCTTAACAATTCTTCAATATTTGATAAAATGTCATAATTAAGTGACTGTAAAAAGTTGATCGATGTCAAACAGAACTTTAGAAATTGTTTTCATCATCCCTGAAACTTAGTAATAATGGAATTTTCCAGAGTGATATGCATGGATCAAGTATAAAAAGATACGAATTACCAAATGAATAAAAAAAACTTTAAAGTAAATGGGCTTATACTCTCCTCTTGATTTAAACACAAATATTAATTGCTGCTACATGTACAACCTACCAAGATGTTTTGAATTCTGTTACTAGTTTTGGAATTCTGTCACTGGTTGTGTAAATTTTATTAATAGCTAGTGCTTGAGCAAGATTTCATCTGTTATATATTCAATGACTGTTTCCTCTTTTTTTTTTAGATTTACAAAATTGTTACAACATATTTTTACATCTGAAACTATGGGATTTTAGAAATCCCCCCCCCCCCCACACTTCCAACATTGTGACATCTCTTTTTACAAGTAAATGTTTAAGTAATTTCGTCCAGTTTGAAAATGTCACCATAAACTTTCAGTCGTCCATGAAATGTCAAAAGTAGGTCTACATAATTGAGATTGAACGATTTTGTGTACAAACAGGAAGTTCAGAAAGTTGTGTTTCCGACAGTGACATAACTCGATCCATATGCAATTTCATAAAATCGGGAGGTTACTTTGCCACTTATTTACTTTTCCCTTATAGAATCTCACCTAGCAAGACTCAATATATCTCCAGTGAGATAACCTTCACTTTTCTGAACTGTTCAAAAACTATTTTTCACATTGCGTATTTTCTAACAACAACAAATCGACGCCATATTGTACAAAAATTTCCAGTGTAATTGTCACGTGACAAGAAATATTTTAAACATAACAGAATTATTTTTTAACAAATGAGAAATTATTTGAATTTTATAGGTTTAAATTGAAAATTTTAACTTTTTTTTAAATTTGAAATAAATATCGTGGTTTTGATAATTTTTTTAACTACGCAAACTTTGTGACGTAGTACTCATTAGACGTCAGCATGAGCCCGTGATACGTGTATGGAAAGGTGGCTAAAGCTGTTGAAGAATATTGTTGACCATATTTTCTGCAATTTTATGTCATTAATTGAATAACACTTGGTCATCATTATGGAGCTGACAGAGGTGGTTTCCCCGCATGTTGCCGTGCCAGTAGTTGGAGTTTTACTTTGTGCATTTCTTGTTTTTGCATTTGGGTTTAAAACACCTGGTCAACCTCCAAGCTTCAATTTTGAAGAAGATAACAAACGTAAAAGATCAAAGAAATCAAAGGTTACATTTATTAAGTTTTATGTGTGATAATTTTATCATCAGTATCTTTTCATGAACCACACAAGCATAAGTGCACAAGATGTTTTTAAGTGCGCAATCTGATGTAATGAATGGTGTCTTCTATCAGCTGATTAAGTGCATAGGCCAATGTATATTTTAAAGTGCTTATACACCATGGTATACATTCAGAATATTAAAATGTATGGCTTTTTTTGACATTTTTTTTTAAAGATATTAATATTATGAATTTTAAAACTCAAAGCATCTAATTTGCAAATATAATAGTTGATACATTTTCTTTGAAGAAATGCCAAAAAATTAATATTCATATAATATAAGATAATTAAGAAATAATATTTGTCTTTTAATGCAGATATCGTAAAGGTCTATCAATTGAAATGTAACTTTCCTCCTTATCTGTGCTTTATATTAATGAATGCTTTGTTACTCTTTAGTCTCCTAAAAGTCAAAGTAATGGACATGTTGTAGCAGTAAATGAAGAAATTGAAAGCAAAGCAAATGCCAAACAACCACCCCAGTCAAAAAATGTTGCAAAATCACCCAAATCAGCTGCCAAAAAATCCACTGAACAGAATAAAAAGGTAATATTATACCCCCCGCAAACGAAGTTTAGGGGGGGTATATTGGAATCACCATGTCTGTCTGTCCGTCTGTCTGTAGACAAGATTTTGTCCGGACCATTACTCAGAAACTATTGGAAGGATTTGTCTGAAAATTTGTACACATATTATTCACCATATGAAGTTGTGCACCTGAAATTTTCATCTTGATTCGATTATTATTTTGAATTTTACAGGTGTTTTTTTCATTTTTATTTTGTGGTTTTGTCCGGACCGTTTCTTAGAAACTATTGCAAGGATTAATCTGAAAATTTATACACTTATTATTCACCATATGAAGGTGTGCACCTGGAATTTTCAACTCTTTTTGTTCATTTTTATGCATTTTACAGGTTTTATTTTTTGTTTTAATTGACTTGTTCATTTTGGGCTCATGTATAAGGTTTGAGACATAGAATCTAGAATATCTGTACAAAAACATTAACTACAGCTTAAAACTACTCATAAAAACTGAAAAAAAAGAAACATCATCAAGTGTTAAAAACAGTTTTTACATTGCACAGAAGATAATGTAATTTCATTTGTCTCTTGGGAATAATGACTGGACATGCATCCAGTTAAAGATAAATTAATGAGTTTGGTGTGGGAAGTTGAACATTAAGGTATCTCATTATGAACCATATGTTATCTCCTGGGAATTGGGCACAAGAATTAAAGATCTCTCTTCTCTTATTCTCTTAATTGTAATTTATTATCTGTCAAAGCACTTCATTACTGGATGACCTGCTCTTTATTTTCAAAATGAATTTGATATAAAGTTATCAAGATTAATTTGATTTTGTATAATATGATTTTTTTTCAACAATCAGTTTGCAGAGTGACATAACACATAATTGCAATATATTTTTTAATGCAGAAATAAAAAGATAAAATAAAAAAATAATGTTAGAATGGAATTACAATGTATTAGTATTGATGTTTCATTTGGTTGCACCTTTGTTTCATTCATTAAGAAACATGATGAGCATGCAATTATATTTCACTGCAAATTTTGTAAGTAAATTATGAACACCTCTAGATCCATAAAGTATTTTTGAATTGGCACCTTCTCTGAAAAACCCAGCGGGGGGGGGGGGGGGGGGGGGGTATTTGTCCCTACTGGACAGTTCTAGTTTTAACTTTCTTTTACACAGTACATCTTTACCTCTTTTTGACTTACTGAGATCATGTTAAGACTAATGATTAATCCAAGCTGTAAAAAGGCTGTAAAAGATTTTCAAGGAATTCTTATTTTTTAATGTACACTTTAAGATAAGTTAAAAAAAAAATAATTAGTTGCATCTAACTTCAGTTATTACAGTAAACTATTACAAGTTTTCAATGGTAGCAGATGTAAGTGATTGTGTAAAAAAAAAATAAATAACAGGTTGACATTTTTTTTGTTTGCAGGTCAAGAAAGCTGTAAAGGAAGTTGAAGAGTCTAAACCTGTACCCCCCGCACCTGTCTCTGAGGATGATGGAGGTACCTGGTTTTCTGTACCATCATAAATCACACATGACCTTGACCTATGTCACTGAATCAGATTTACAGTTTATTTTTGCTTTACTGATCAGAGTCTGAGATCAGAAGAACTTGTACATTAGTAAGATGCCCCAGTACATCCACCTGTCTGTAGATCTGTCCGATTACCTGTAAACAATTTTTCAAAGAGCTACTCCTCCAACTGTTTTGGTCAGATTTCAATAAAACATGAACACAATTAGACTATACTAAGATACATCTTTCTTTATTTTGTTTTCACTACAGCAGAGCTACAGTCTCATCAGGGACTTCTAGTTGTTAAGAAAGTAGCCAAGAACTAGCAAGAACTGTTTATGTATATATGATATTTTGCCCGTGGGTATATCATGTTGACCTGCCTATGAACCCCATGTTAGCTTTAAAGTCAAACCAGTTGCTTTTTGTAACAGGAAAATTGATCCATATCAGAACTTTTCTACTTTGAAATCTAGGTATGGGATGTTTGACATTTGACTGTCACTTTAACAAAATTGTTATGTCCATTGACCTTTGTATGATCCTCACCTTTAAAATTAATTAAAAGAGAAATGTGCATACCATATAAAATTATAAAAAAAATTCCCAGGAATTTTCTAGAAAAAATCCAAATTAACAACAGTTTCATAGTGATTTATCATTTTCACTGAGAGAAATTTGAAAGGGAATAGTGTAAATCTTGCTTTGGAGGAAAATATTTCTCTCACAGTGGGTTTATAGTGGTTAACTACTGATGCTACTAATGCCTATGTTTATAGGAGGATGGACAACCCAGGTGTCTAAGAAAGACAAGAAACAGAAGAGGACCATCATTGAGTCTGACGTGGAGGACAGAGCTGTGGAGGAGAAGCCGGTGGAGGAAGCCATTGTGGAGGAGAAGAGTAAACCCGTGGAACAGAGGAAGAAGAACAAGAAGAAGAATCAGCAGGTGAGATACTGTAACTTAGTCTGTTTTTCTTCCTAGAAAGTTTTATAATATTATAAAAAATCGGAAACATTTTTCATGGTACACCTTTTAAGTTAGAAAAAATGTATTACATATTCCTCCCACTGTGAGTTTCTGAGGTTTTATTACATAAGTCCATCACTATGTTTCATTTGTAAACCTTTGAACATATGGAATTGTAAACATGACCTCTGAGTTCAGGGTACACATTTCAGGATGAACCTTTAAAAACTCTGATTTTAAATATTTTGTTGAGCAGAGCAGTCAATAACAGGTGTAATCTTTCTTACATGACATATAGTTGGCTCAATGGTAAAGCTCTTGATTCTACTAAAGAATTTAAACATTCATGGAGCTCTTGTGTCTCCGCACACATTCATCAATATTTTTTTTTTAAATAGGAAAATGTGCCTGTCCAAGAAGAAACAGTCCCAGAGACTAAAGTTGAACCCAAGGTATGCTAATTTTTTAAGTTAAAAAAAGTTGTTTTGATTTTACATGTGTAAGAGAAGTTGGCAAAAAAACAGATAATGACACTACTCTATGAACTTTTCCTCTTGATCAAGAAAGTTTACAATGTAAGAATATTGTATGAAAATGAACAAAAAAAATTATTGTCGATGTGAATGCTAAAAAATTTAAAATTTTGTAGGAGACAGTGACAGAGAGTAGTAAAAAGGCAAAGAGTAAGAAGAAAGCTGAACCCAGCAAAGAGGTTGAGAAGAAAAGTGAACCGGCCAAACCAAAACCCGAACCAGAGAAAAAAAGTGAGGAGAAACTAAAGCAAGTGCAGGAGAGTGCACCAGAGGAGAAAAGCAAGACTTCACCTAAAAAGAAGAAGGGTGCCTCTTCTACAGAGGTAAAATACTGGACATAAATACATTTAGATAAAATGGTTTCTTAGTACCGATCTTACTCTGAATGTGATTTCAAATATTTAGCTCTGTTTCTTTTTGGAATAATTCACACAAGGTTACCTCATCTCTAGAATACATTGAGGCTTCTTTATATGTTTTTAATATCTCGAAATTAATTGTTTTGAATTTGATAAATTTGTATTTATTAATTTTATTCCTATTTAATGTTATCAGAAGAAAGTGGAAGTAAGCAAACCAGAGGCAGTCAAAGAGACAAAGAAATCAACTACAGCAAGCCCAGGGAATGCAGCTGGGGAACAGGAAAAATCAAAGGCCAAGTCTGAAGTTTCTTCAGGGCCCAAAACTGCAGCCCCAGAGGCAAAGGCAGAGGTGGTGACAGAATCAAAGAAAACCAAAGCAGAGCCACAACAGGGTATGTTGTCTGACATAGTGTAGTAGGTTCTTTTATTCTACTGATTTGATTTTATCGGTCTTCAGGTCAAAGGCATCAGGCATATCACATATGAAACAAGAGGCCCATGGGCCACATCGCTCACCTGAGAAGCTTTGACCATTCTGTTCTTTACCAGATTTCCTCCTTGTAATACATAATACATCCCCACCCTACCTCACTGATCATAATTTAGACATTTTGAAATCTACACTACCCAAGGATCCTTCCATGTGCACATAAGTTTCAGCTTTTCTGGCCCAGTGGTTCTTGAGAAGAAGATTTTCAAAGATTTTTCCTATATATTTCTATGTAAAACTTTGATTCCCAATTGTGGCCCTGCCCTTCCCCCCGGGGGTCATGATTTGAACAATTTAGAATTTACACTATCCCAGGATGCTTCCACAAAGTTTTAGCTTTTCTGGCCCAGTGGTTCTTGAGAAGAAGATTTTCAAAGATTTTTCCTATATATTTCTATGTAAAACTTTGATTCCCCATTGTGGCCCCGCCCTTCCCCGGGGGTCATGATTTGAATAATTTAGAATCTACACTATACCAGGATGCTTCCACATAAGTTCCAGCATTTCTGGCCCAGTGGTTCTTGAGAAGAAGATTTTCAAAGATTTTTCCTATATATTTCTATGTAAAACTTTGATTCCCCATTGTGGCCCCGCCCTTCCCCCGGGGGGTCATGATTTGAACAATTTAGAATCTACACTACCCCAGGATGCTTCCACATAAGTTTCAGCTTTTCTGGCCCAGTGGTTCTTGAGAAGAAGATTTTCAAAGATTTTTCCTATATATTTCTATGTAAAACTTTGATTCCCCATTGTGGCCGCGCCCTTCTCCCGGGGGTCATGATTTGAACAATTTAGAATCTACACTACCCCAGGATGCTTCCACATAAGTTTTAGCTTTCCTGGGCCAGTGGTTCTTGAGAAGAAGATTTTCAAAGATTTTTCCTATATATTTCTATGTAAAACTTTGATAACCCATTGTGGCCCCGCCCTTCCCCCGGGGGTCATGATTTGAACAATTTAGAATCTACACTATCCCAGGATGCTTCCACATAAGTTTCAGCTTTTCTGGCCCAGTGGTTCTTGAGAAGAAGATTTTCAAAGATTTTTCCTATGCATTTCTATGTAAAACTTTGATTCCCCATTGTGGCCCTGCCCTTCCCCCGGGGGTCATGATTTGAACAATTTAGAATCTACACTACCCCAAGATGCTTCCACGTAAGTTTTAGCTTTTCTGGCCCAGTGGTTCTTGAAAAGAAGATTTTCAAAGATTTTTCCTATATATTTCTATGTAAATCTTTGATTTCCCATTGTGGCCCCGCCCTTCCCCCGGGGGTCATGAGTTGAACAATTTAGAATCTACACTATCCCAGGATGCTTCCACATAAGTTTCAGCTTTTCTGGCCCAGTGGTTCTTGAGAAGAAGATTTTCAAAGATTTTTCCTATATATTTCTATGTAAAACTTTGATTCCCCATTGTGGCCCTGCCCTTCCCCCAGGGGTCATGATTTGAACAATTTAGAATCTACACTACCACAGGATGCTTCCACATAAGTTTCAGCTTTTCTGGCCCAGTGGTTCTTGAGAAGAAGATTTTCAAAGATTTTTCCTATGCATTTCTATGTAAAACTTTGATTCCCCATTGTGGCCCTGCCCTTCCCCCGGGGGTCATGATTTGAACAATTTAGAATCTACACTACCCCAAGATGCTTCCACGTAAGTTTTAGCTTTTCTGGCCCAGTGGTTCTTGAAAAGAAGATTTTCAAAGATTTTTATTATATATTTCTATGCAAAACTTTGATTTCCCATTGTGGCCCCGCCCTTCCCCCGGGGGTCATGAGTTGAACAATTTAGAATCTACACTATACCAGGATGCTTCCATATAAGTTTCAGCTTTTCTGGCCCAGGGGTTCTTGAGAAGAAGATTTTTTAATGACCCCACCCTATTTTTATCTCTTCTTGATTATCTCCCCTTGTGAGGGGACTTGGCCCTTTATTTTAACAATTTAAATTCCACTTTACCCAAGGATGCTTTGTACCAAGTTTGGTCAAAATTGGCCCAGTGGTGCTTGAGAAGAAGTCGAAAATGTGAAAAGTTTACAGACGGACAGACAGACAGACGGACAGACAGACGGACGGACGACGGACAAAATGTGATCAGAAAAGCTCACTTGAGCCTTCGGCTCAGGTGAGCTAAAAAACTATATTTATTACTTCATTTTAAGTATGTAATAAAAGATTGTAAAGCATACTAATAATCATTTATTGATTCACAATTAAGCGACCTCTGAGTACGTTAGGGAAGAAATATATTGATGATGTCCCACTACATTATTCACTCTATACAGTAGCTTTTCATTATTCTTTAAATTTGGTTGTAGCTGAGAAAACTGAGGCCAGTGGTGCTGAGAATGGAGAATCAGCTGTCTCATTTGATGAAGTGGGAGGTAAGTGTTGCTGAAGGCAATCAGTGTGCTCAGATAGATAAAGTATCACACAAGGGCCCAGTTACTCTTTTTTGTATTCAGTTTATCATGTGCTGTAAACTTGTAATTTTGTTGAGTGAAATGTTTTTATTTGTGTTCTATTTTTTCTTGTTTGTATAGATTCTTGGGTTGAAGCCAAGCCGAAGAGCAAGAAGAAAAAAGCTAGGCGAGATAACTAGCCATTGCTATTTTGTTTTGTTGTTGTTGCTATATACTGCAATAAAAGGTGCTGGATCCTTGTTAACAAGGCATTGTGACCTTTGTGACCTTTACACACATTGACGAAGGCCTGGTTGTGGTGGTAGATTAGAAGCAAGCCTGAGGAATGCACACATCATGATCACCAAAGGCAAAGGCACAGCATACACTTCCATGAAAGAAATTGCCAGTGGGATTTTAAACAGATTTTGAAAGAACTAAGAAAGTGCAAGATTTGTAGGATACTTCTTTTTTTCGTTTCTTTTTTTTTTTGAAACACATTTGTACTATTTGAAGGAATAAGTGCTCCTTGATAGAAAAAAAAAATATTTGAAGAAAATAAAATAAAAATAGTTTGTTGGATTTAATTTCCACACACACAAAATAATTACTACAACAGTGGCATAACTTTATTCATGTCCTGGCATAGTTTTGCTCAATGTTTTTGATTTTTTTTAAATCAAATTTGTTATAGGTGAATAATAATTTTCTTTCTAATTATGTTGATTTCAAAACTGTGTGCAGGCTTTGGGGTCTCTTTGTTATGTTTTGTTATTTCTTACTTTAGAATTTAATTAAAATCTAGTCACCATTTAGTTAAAAAAAATCTCAGATGGTGGACATATGGATAAATGTTTAATGTTAAATGTATTACCTCTCATGTGCTTATGTTGATAGAATATGCTGAGGATTGAAAGGAAGGGGGGGGGGGTATCTGATAGGAAAAATTGTATGACATGTCAATTAACTTGCTCATGTTAAATCTAGGTTTTCACTCAAAAAGTATGTGTAGATTGTATCAAATAAGAAAAATATATTTTTTTATGATTAGATGGACAGATGACAAATAGAGAAAAGTTACGTAAGTAAAATGTACTTTGTATATGTATTAAACCATCTGATCCCAAGTTATAACTTTTTATAGGTCTGTATTATTGTTTTAAGGTTGTCTCATAGGGTCTTAAAGATGAAATGATTATGATAAATCACCATTTGTATGAGTGTTTGCTATGTTATTTTATTGTTTTGGATATTTATATGTATATTGTATCGAGGCTATGTACAGTTTCAGGAACTGTGTTGTGTCTGGCACTGTGCATAAATTTCCTGTGATATAGAATGAATAATGGTATGAAAAGTATGATACAGAATATCTGTATATAGTCAATTTAGGATGAATTCATTAAAGCTCTGTATTAATTGTCCCAGTTATTAGAACATTGAGAAAAAAGCCCAAGCACATGGGGCAGTAAAGTGTTGATATAGGAGACCACTCTCTCCAAAATAAAGTTATATATCAAAAAGACACTAAATCTATTGAGTACATTCCAGATTTTTCTTTGGCAGCTTTACTTTAACAGTGCATTAAGAAATATCAAAAGTTTATTTTTATCTTAATGGATGTGTTTCTTTTTACATAATTAAATTAACTGTATGATTTAATTTATTTAAGAGGTAAAATAAAAGATGGTATGATTAGGTTTGTCTTCCAGGGTCTGGATATAAAAGTGGGTTTTGTCAATATGTAGACATCTTGCCACTCGTAAAATTGTGCAGAAAGCCAAATGATTTTTTTTTTTACATCTGAATTGCAGAACCAAGTAACAGTTTGTGTAATTAAGTTTTGATTCCTGATATTATTCAAGATTTTCTTATATTTAAGTGCCAAAATATTGGAGGACGCCATTCATGAATTCTCGTGGGAAATTTTACTTGTTGAAAGATGGATGTATTGAAACTATTTAGTTGATATAAAAATATGTTGAATATGTCTGACATGTATTTTTGGTATTAAGAAATTATTTATTGATTATTTGTAAATTAATATATGTGTGCAAATTGCATGAGGAAAACTACAGCAGTGGCATGAAAGTGCTGTTCATTGATATATATTTATATGTATTTATGCTTGAATCATTTATTTTTCTCTCTTGTAGTATCTAAAGTAGTTTATTATGTGAGGGTATTTATGAATGCATCAGTTGTATCCCTTTAAACAATTGTTATATTGAGATGAACCTAAATCGATCTCTGCTGGTATCTATAGATGTTGGAAGTCGGAGAAATCAGTGAAGAAAAAGTTCTATGTTGGGTATCAGTGAAAAATATAGACATGTATGATTATGTTTATATGAAAGGGAGCACATACTTGATGAGATGTGTATGTTTTGGTAATGGGATTCTATGTAATATTAAAGTACATGTATTGTGAATATAATTGCCATTTTCATACATATTAGTGCACTTGATTTTCATAAAATGATACAAGATTGGGCATGAGTCGTGTTTTGATAGGAGGAATTAAAAGTTTTAAAAAAAATCAATTTTGTGCATGAAGTGAAAGGGGTCAAGAAGCAGTCAATCAAGAAAAATTCTTATCAATCATGAATACTTTGTACTTTTGTTGAATTGGCACTAAATATTCACTTTTTGAGTATGCCCTAAATTTGCTACAGATGTTTTGAAAGTTAGATGTTTTGATAAAGAAATATGTGAAAAGGAGAGGGGGAGGAGTAGTCATAGTTTTAACTTTGTTTATTAGAGGAATTTCTTTACCTTTGTCAGTAGTTTCCTCTTGTGTCTACATTTTTAAGTGTCACATGTTTTTGAATTGATATATACATTTTAAAGAAAAAAGGAAGAATTGTCAGAAAAAAAATGTTTCCCCCCTTTTTTTGCCCATAAGTTGTGCAATGTTTTTATGATATGACATCTACAAGTAGCTAAGGATTATTATTACTTAGTCCTGATTTACGGCATGAAGTTGGGTGTATGTTAACACGAATGATTAGTTGTGACAAATGAACATTTTAATGTTATGGTGCATATGATTACAAAAATGACCAATCAGAAGTCAGTATACAGGGTATGTTACATCTTATCTCCTCTCGGATCTGTCTGAAAGATATACTTTATGTGGCATTAGTGAACCATTCCAAGATGTAGAGCATATACTTGTATACATATATATTTTTTGACATTGTAGTATTGTTTTTGAAGTAATGTGAGCTAAACACTAGTATTTTGTGATGCCATGTTAGTGTGAATTAAGGTCTAGTTTTGAAAAAAAGGAATGTATTTTTTAATCATTTCAATGTTTAATCTGTTTGAGAAAGAGAGAGAGAGAATGTAATTTGACCCGTATCAGGTTCACTTAGGTTGTGTTCATTATAGAAAAAGAAAATTACAAGAATAAATTAAAATTGATCATATATATACTCTGACTGTGTTTTTTTTTAATGATTTTATGAAATTGATTGTTTACTTACATCAAACGTTTAAATTTACTCGGAGTTCCACCACGCAGAAAATGGATAAAAAAGATTTATATAACATATTGATATTAAATAATCTTTATTATAGAGAGGAATACTGGTACATGTTTCTGTATGTATAAAGTTTGATTTCTCCTGCTACCATATACCCATGATGGACCCCTGACAAATTCTTTCTATGGGGCTTAATTCCTTCTCATGGAGAAGCACCAATCGGATATACAAGGTAAACAGAAAGCAGTTGCACATGTAACAGCTTGTTTGCCACTAAATGGTTTAATGTTATTTGTTAAGAGATAAAAGGAACAATCAAGATTTGTATTTTTCCAAAAGATATTGCTGCAGTCAGTCCATATAGAATATCGAATGAAATGAGTCAGTGGTCGAAAGGCATTTGACTCAGGACCCTAATATAGTGAGGATGCACATAGGGGTACCCAACTGATTTCATACTTGAAACTCTCCTACACAACTTATGCAGAATAAATAGAGATTTTCACAGAATCTTTATTACACAATAGTGTTATTGTGCACCTTCTATTTAAAATTTTAATGAGGCACATACGTATTTGGAGTTTCCCATTACAAAAAATAGATAATTAATGCTATTCTTTCTATAATATTGGGGATACTCATATTTTATCTGCAACTGATCCTCCTGCTCCTACAAGTAAGAGCTTTGGCTAATGTCTAAAATCTATAAGGCTACATTCCTTATATACATGTGTCTAGGACCAAGTCAAAAGCACTATGAACCTCTACCATGCTGGAATACAACTCCTTCTACCGTAAAATCAAATATTTTTGTGGGGTCAAATTGTCCTGGTTTGAGTAAAAGTCTTGGTTTGTGGGGATTTGAATCAGTGGATAAAGAATTGTTGAGTAGTTATGTATGTAACATTTTACATTTCATAGTGGACATGAATTCGTGGGTTTCTTCATACCTCGAAAACAACGAAAACTTGTGATTTCACAGTATACCCCTGGTATATCACTGATTTGAATTCAGTGAGACTTCTTCGTTTCACCAATTTTTATCCCATTATGTGCCATTGTGCACCTCATAATTTTTAGAGTAATCAACACATTGCGGGTTTCCCATAAAAAAAATGGATTTTGCCATTTTCTAAAATATTAGGAATCCCTGTCTCTAATATCTGCAACTCCTCATATACCTGATAAACTTTCCCAGAATCCTTATAATATGTATACTGTACTGCCACTTTAATAGCTGTTATTTAACTTTTGAACAGGCATTCCTTTTTGCAAAACATGGACAAGTGAGGAGTTAGCACTTGAGGGAGACAACTCCCGTGGTACGAGATGCAAGTGCAAGTACTTTCAGTACTTTGATGTTTTTCTTGACATTTTTTGACATAATTAGAATAAGAAAAAGAAGAGAAAAAAAGAATAACACAAACTGATAATATGGCCCGCAATTTCATGATTTATTACATGTTAGCAAATATTTACGATAAACATAAACACGCCCACTTTACGGCAATTGCATGTGTTATTCAACTTGACTTGGATCCGTTTTCAATGACCAACTTGTTTCACAGCTTATAGATGGGTCTCCGTGTATCAAAGTTAAAGAAAGCCATTATAGATGACCATCTTCTCCTGACAAATATTTTGACGACTGGTGGTTTGCTTGCTGCTGGAGATGTTCTTACACAGACCTTGGAGATTAGTATGGACAAGGAGAATAAACAGAAATTCTGTTGGTATCGGACAGGCATGTGTTATAATTAAAATTAATCAATAGGTTAATGAATGCCAAAATATGTCTCTTTAGTATCTGAATTTACTAAGTTTTCATTGGAAAAAGTTTTTTGATCCCAAATGATGTACATGTATGTATAAAACAGTTCTGATCAAATCATATCATACTATTACATCATATATTCAGTAGGTTACAACTGAAGTGTTGAATCATATCCTTTATAAATACTAGTGGATGTTTATCTGTATTCTTAATGTTTTTCTCCATGCCAATCAAATTTTATGCTTTCCCTTATTGATTCTTTATTATTAAAAACACTCATTTTTTTGGAGGTAGATATGATTAATGTAAATGTGCAGGATGCAAATACATCTTATAAGGTCTTATAAGAATTGTTGTTAAAGAAGTTAATGTACCATCTGTTGTGATTTGGACAGTGAAGTTGGATAGCAGCCTGTGTAGCTCAGTTGTCAAAGAGTATCTGACTTAAACAATGCTTGGGTCCCAGATTTGATTTCAGATCCAGTCGTATATTTTCCCTTTAAAATCCAGATCCGAGAGCCACCTTGAAGCCCCCAGTAGGTCCAGAGCAAAGCCCTAGTGGGGGCCTAGGTGGCAAGGCCCCTGTAATCACCTGCATTCCAGAGATTTTGTAGTGTAAAAGTGATGTCTCATAACCCCCCCCCCCCCTTTAAATCCGCCACTGATAGAACATGGAATACTTTATTTAATTTGAGTGGGAGGCCCTCTTTACTGTATAGAATTGACCTTATTTTAGGAGCTATATAGAATATGTGGGGAAGTATAATTTATTTATGACAAAGTTTTCATTAGTGTGGACAGCTGATATTATCAAGCAGTAGCAAGAAAATGCCAGGTGTTAGCTTATATGAGATTGAATGACAATTGAGTATTTTGTTCTGTTTTTGCCAGACACATGTATGTGCAAGTCAGTTGAAAGAGCAGTTAATTGGGATTGGTTTTTTTGGGAGGGGTGTAAAATTCTTGACTGGAATACCGGATTCTTTTCCCTTGTAACATTTGAGTAGTAACCCAAGACCTTAGCAGTGTGATTCATATAATTTCCACCAATGCAAGTTCCTTTTGAATTTTACAGAGCGGATGTTGGCAGTAGGTATGGCTTTGGGTCCATTTGCTCATGTATGGTACAGCAAGATTGTAGATAAACTAGTACCTGGGGTAGCCAGCACTCAAACAGCTCTCAAGAAAATTCTAGCTGATCAACTTGTTGCTGGACCATTCTTCTGCAGTGGTTTTTTCTTTGGTAAGAAATTTTTTTGTTCACATTCAGTTGAATTGGTCTCAGGGACAGCCCTGGTGTGTACCAAGGTATTGTATATATTAAAGGTATGCTACAGTGAAACTTGTCTAATCCAGATGCTGTGTAATCCGTAATTTTGTCTAATACAATGTAAACTTGGGAGTCCCTTCAGTTGTTTTAAATGTTGTCTAATGCAACCATTTTCTTTGGAACCACACTGTAGGAATGGGATTGCTGGAAGGAAAAGGAGGAGAGGGGGCTGTTGCTGAGGTTAAACAAAAGTTCCTACCAGTATATATGGTAAGATAACTAACTGCCAACTACCAGTGTACATGGTAAGATAACTAGCTATTAACTACCAGTGTACATGGTGAGATAACTGTTAACTACCAGTGTATATGGTAAGATAACTAACTGTTAACTACTAGTGTACATGGTAAGAAAACTAGCTGTTAACTACCAGTGTACATGGTAAGATAACTAGCTGCTAACTACCAGTGTACATGGTAAGATAACTAACTGTTTACAACCAGTGTACATGTACATGGTAAGATAATTCAGAGTTACTTGTCCATTGTCAAGAACGTAAAGGTGGACTTAATTTTCAAATTAGCTTATAATTGAATTAAGAGAAATTCTTATAATTGAATAAAGAGAAAATATTTAAGGTAGGATTCTTCTCTGGTTTCTGACTAGATGAAACATTCAAAGAACATTTGCTTATATGTCTTATATATTGAGGTGTAAGGAATTTAATAGACCATATTTTTCTTTCCTCATCACAATTGAACAAATTTAAATAGAAATGGTAAATTGCATTTGAAAACTAGCAGGGACTATATTTTTGGTGGAATGGTGGCATTTGAAAATATCTTCTTTTCTGCCTCTCAAAATTATAATAGAACAATGAATTTAGTAATAATTTTTACACAATCGAAGACTTGGAGAAATTTTCAAATGTAAATTAAATTAATAATGAGGGACTAAACTTTCAAAATCTATCAAATAGATATGATTTTTTAAACAAACTAGAACTTTATTAGCTTTTAAACGCTTCCCATCAAAGTGCAGATTTGAGCCAAAAATCCATAAAAAGTATTTTTTCTCTCTTAGTAAACTATCAAAAGTTTTTAATTTTGTATCATTTTGTACATTTATAAGACTACTTTATTATATGTGAAAATAAGAAAAAGTGAAAAATAGGAAGCATATGAAAAGAACTAATATATCCTAAAATATTAAGAAAAACAGAGAAAATTCGGATTTAAGCCAATATCCAGTTAAGTTAAATCATTTATGTAAATTTGGTAAATCATGCTATAGACCCGATATAGTCATATGTTTTTATGCAAAAAGAACAATTATTAAACTTTTGAAATAGAAGTATGTATCACATGATTGGCAACAGTTATTTTTTATTCTTAATGTCAAGGAAAAAGATAATGACCTTGACCTGACCTTGCCTCTGATATAAAACGGTCAAATTTAATTTCACTGATACTATCACTTACTGATATTGTCTTCTTGATTCTGTGAAAATTTCATTAATTTTTAGATATCAGAAATATGAAAAGAATCCTACCTTAAGTCCTATTTTTATTTTTAAAAATTCTGAATAGTAATATATTTCACAGCAAAAATGAAAAATACTGTATTACAGATTGATTGGTGCGTGTGGCCACCAGCTCAGTTTATCAACTTTCGATTTCTTCCTGTTGAATTCCGAGTGATTTATGTTGCCTGTATCACACTCTGCTGGAACACATTTTTATCGTATTACAAGCATATGGTAAGATTTTTTAAAAAGTTTAAACTACTATGTACAAATACAGGTATACTTTGTTTCTTGGACTTCAGTTCTTCATTTAAGGGATAAAGAATTGCTTGCATAAATGATACAAATTTCTGTTTACGTGTCATCAATGAAAAGTAAAGTTGAGTAATTCAGTTTTATCTTTATTCATTGAATTTTTTTTGTAGGATGTAAATAAGATTACAGAAAAACAAGAAGTCAAAAGCTGATGATCAATTTTTCATAGGGTGTGAGAGACTTAATGTGTTAGCCAGAGTTCATTTTTTTTTCAGTTTATTAGTCAACTGTTGTTATGAGATTTTAAGATATTTTGTACATGTACTTGTCTGTTCAGCATAGGATTCAAGTAATGATTATTTTTATATCGTTTTCTTCTCATTCATGTATTTATTTACATGTCATTATAATCTCCCATTTAAGTTTTTTTAATCTTATTTTTTCAGTGATCAATATTTATTTATTTATACACTGAATTTGATATTTATTAAAAACTTGAATATATAAAGCATTCCTGTCTTGTCTTATATGGATCATTCTTGTGCGTTGGGATGGTTGACATAGGGTTTTGTGCACTCAGCTTGTCTATCCAATGATTTCTTCAGAATAGAAACAAATCCCTCACAAATATTTTTTTATATATCTATGTGAACTTCTAATAAAAGAATCACAGGTACAATACTTACAGTATATGTTTACAAGGGGCCCGTTTACAAGTTAATAACTGATTTGATATGATTGTTGTCACCTTAAGCCCTCGTATTTTGCTGTTCGACAATTCTTGCTGGAGGGCAAACATTTTCTCATCTTAGCAGGAAGTACCCAGGATATTCTGTGGGTAACATTCACTGATGTCACAGTCATATATCAAAGTGCTTATATTCTGTGTGGGGAAGATACTTTATTAATTTTTTTTAGAGGATTTTTATAATTTTTGATTGATAAAATGGATATTCTGTGTATTTGTTAAACTCAACGTAATACAAGATGACTTTAATGGATTGGAATATTGCTGAAAATAATTAAGTAAGTATCAATGATTGTGTTAATTAATTTTTTTACTGAAATTGTAATGATAACTAGTGATGAATGAATTTATTGTTAATTTAAAATATTCATTTAGATACTTTGCATATAAAAATTGTTAAATCAAAACCAAGTATTTGATTTAGAATTTCTTTCTTATACATGTATAAATTACATGATTATTTTTTTTACAGTCAATAATATCATTCAGACATGGGATTCTGGAAACAGCTTGGTTTACTTTTATGGAAAAATTATACTTTGAGAAAACGACAAAAGGTATGTATTTTAAAGTACAAAGTATATTCAAAGTGTACTTATATATATAAACATCACAGAAAAAAAATATTTGAAATTGAGAAGAAATTTTACATTGATTAGTTTTTTCAAATACTTATTTTAAGTATTAAGTGATTTAAGGTTGATTTCATAGTATGTACATTTCATTTATACCATCTACCTGGGTAGCAAAATGGTGTACATAGGAATTTGTCATGGGGGAGTTTAATTTTATTTCTTATAAGACATACACTGAAATGGGGTATTTTGCTGCATTATATACATTAATTAAGAAGTATATTATTTATTACGAAATACTTTTGATTTATAATATTTCCAAAGATCCATGTGTTACACCTCCTATAATGATGGTTGTACATTTAGACAGGTGAATGAGTTCATTCACATCATTATGATTGTATTATGATTCATAGTCTCTATATGACCCATGTACCGGGGTCTGTTATAGGAGATGTGTGACTTTGTTATGTAACTATTATTTTAGAAAGTGTAACTATTTTTTTTTAGAAACTGCCTATATATCAGATGCATCAAAGGGTGTTTAAGATACCTAATAATACATAATGTGGATAACCAAGTAGTTTTTTATTACTTGGAAAACATTTCCCTTCCATTAATATTATTCCACAGAAAAGAAATGTATTTGAATGTTTTGAATATAATAATTTTAATTGAGATTTAGATTTTGTGAAGTTTTTAAAATGCAAAAACCTGAAATATTCCAACATTCTATTACATTTTGAAGATAAACAAACTCATACTTGATACACTGGTACTTTTAAGAATTAACTATAAGGTCACACTGTCACAGAGTCAATTGTTGATTGTCAAACCACTCTGGAAATAATAAGACATTGTCCTCTCAATTTTTGGAAACTCCTTTGGTTGGCAGAGATTAAATAACATACACCAGTACTCCAGGAAGAATTATTTTGAGGTCACAAGGTCAAAGAAAAGGGTCAACTATTCTGGGCTAAAGAAGAAAATAAGCGAATTAAGTTCAATCTTTTCAACATTGCCAGGGAAAAAAAGATTAATTTGTTCTTTAGTTTTGTTTTAGTGTGTAAATTTCATTCACATGTTCCATGTGATTTTAAGTTTATGTCCCCCCTCCCTTCCTCCCAATAAATCATGGTTGTTTGGGCTATATAGATGGTAGATATCAGCCTGGTAGCTCAGTGTTTAGAGCACCTGACTAATGATAAAAAGTCCTGGGTTCTATACCTGTTCAATGCAGCCATATATTGTCTTTAATAATTCCTCCTTTCTTTCTTTATTTAGTGGCCAGTTTTGGGGCCTTTTTGAGGTTAATATATGTAAATTAGTCATTTCTGAAAAGGAAAGCTTGATTGTTGTGCGAGTCTTCAAGGGAAAAAACTGTATAAGGGATGAATGTAGTAATTGAAGAGACTACATATGCAATGGACCAAGGTTCAATTCCAAGTTCAGCCATATTATTTCTTAATTCATTCCTTTTTCCTACTATATACTTTTGGTGATAGGTTGTTGGGGAACTTGTTTAGGTTATATGCAAATTAGTACATGTAATTCCTTACAAGTTGTTGTGTTTCTTTAAGGAAAAGAAACTGTTTAAGTAGGTCAAGCTATATGTACCATGGATATTTGTTTGGGTAGCTCATTAGTTATAATACCTGACTATGATACGGGATATCAGGTTTATTTCCAGTCTTATTATGTATGATTTCCTTTGTTCATCCCTCTTTTCTTACTTAAAAGGTTTCTGTAAAAAGGTTTCTCGAATAAACAATGAATCAGCATCAGTTATCAATACCAGATAATTATTTATACCTTTTACTTTCACAGTACAGATTATTGGCTGAAATTGTGACCCCTACCATCCTACTCTTAGTACTAGTGCTGGTCAGAACTCGACCGGACCTTCAAGAGTACAACCATGAATGTAAGTCACTTTACAAACTCAATGTTAGTCACCTTGCTACCAAACTTATGTCATCTTGACCTAACCACTGAATGTTAGTAACCTTACTACCAAATGTATGTCACCTTGACCTTACTACTGAATGTAAGTCACCTTACCACTGAATGTAAGTCACTTTGACCTTACCACTAAATGTAAGTCACCTTACCACTGAATTTAAGTCACCTTACCACTGAATGTAAGTCACCTTACTACCGAATGTATGTCACCTTGACCTAACCACTGATTTCTTATAGGTCATTTTGACGGAAAGGCAATGCCTAGTGCTGGAGTACTGCCATTTCTACAGTCTTTCTTTTGTACCTTTAATAACACTTGTCATGAAACAGTCACTCAGGATGAAGAACCGGGAAATGTGGGAAACTTTGGAAAGTCCATGTAAGTTGACCTAGACAGTTAGGGTAAATAAACTTTTGTAACCAAAAGTTATTCTAAAAGAAGCATAAATGCTAATACAGTCAAACCTTGTTATCTCAAACTTGAAAAGACCACAAAAAAAACAAGATATTTGAGATATCAAGGGTAAAATACGTCACTTCACGATAACCATAGTATTTGAGATATCAGTGTTTGAGATACCAAAGTTCAACTGTAAAATCAATATTTTTAACTTGTTTTCCTGTCTCTTGCTATATCTACAATTTTCTGTTAATAGACTGACAAATCTGGTTTTTGACATTGAGGAAATTCTGAACAGCAACATTGACCGAGAGTTGATCAGTGATTTACTGGAGGACTGGGAAATCATTACACAGCTGATGAACAAAATCAGCAGTGGCAGTACCACAGGTATACACAGGGAGCTGGTACACCTTATACACATTACAGTCAGAAAACAGAGGCAAAACCATCAATAAAATAAATGTTTAATTCTCTCTCATTCAACTATGAAATTAATATTACTCTGTTATAAGGTCTCCTGAGTCACTCCCGTGACAGCTATGTTCTTATCTGTTTGTCCATTTCATTTGTAATCTGTCATGAAAGGTACACTGTATACTTACAAATATTGAAACTTTTCAGTTTCTTCTTTGGAACCTCTGAACCAATTTCATCCAATGTTGGCATTATATGTAGCTTGTACAAGTGATGGGGAAAAGAAATTTTCTAAATGTAATAGTCCCTACCTCCCTGGGGCCTGAGGATGGGATTAAAAACATTAACATTCATTCAATCTCTAAAATATCTTTTTTACTTCTGGACAGCAAGTATTACACTCAGGTGACCATTAAGGCCCTTAGATCTGCTGGTGTTTAAACTGGATTAGAGTGTAGCTGTTATGTATATAATTTACACTGGAATTATTTACAGGAGCAATAAGGATTGGAACAGTTTTGGGGAATCCCCAAAACATCAGTGATGTTGTAAAGGAGAAGAAAATCAACCTGTCTCTAGATGTCTTAATAAATGTCATGAATGCCACCCTTGACTTTAATCAGGTATGTATAGGAAAGATTTTTCATTAGTGTACTGGTAGATTTTAATAGGTAGTCTTGTCAAAGAAAAGTATACAGATTTTTAAAAATATGTCTTGTTATGATAAAAATTTGACAGCAAGTCCTTAAAGTTAACTCAGACTTAAATTTGAAAAGATGATCCAGGGGAATGGTATTCCATTACAACTTTATGCTTTAATTGTCCTCTTTTTTAGCTTAACAAACCAAGTCTGAATAAGATATTTAAGGATTTTGACACCTGCCCTGACTCACAGCATAGACAGCCAGCAGCCCTGGAGATCTGGCAGAGAATCTGTGACACAGGAAGTGTGTTACACACCATTGATTTCCATAGCGACGAGGCCAAGGAACGCAGTCAGAGGGAGATCTGTGACCTTGACAAAGCCGACCTTGAACATATGTACCAGGCTTTCCGAGCTCAGTTCAGCATCCAGAGATTTTTTATACAGGTATCTGACTGAGAAAATTAAGAGAAATCTTGCAATAACTTTCAAGAGCACTCTTCTGAAAATTGCATTTCTGTTGTTTTGCTAAATGATAAGCATGTAAATGCACATGTGTGTATTTCTATATCTCTTATTTTCTTTTCAGATGTTTAAATTTATATTTCTGAACACAAAGAAAATTCCAAATGTTCAAGATATCTACAAAAGGTTTAAGAAGCTTATAGGTGATGTGAGTAAACATATTATTCTTGTCATTATCATACTTGTCAAGTCATGCAATGTAGATAAATGTTGGTTCAAAGCAAGGCCACATAGACTAGGTTGAGGCTATCACAGAAGAATAAATATATACAATCTGTGAACTTAACATCAAGCCTCAGTAAATTATAATTATTATAGACTTTATTTTAGCATCACAGAGGAATTCATGATTTTTTGTTTTCTTTTGTAGTTAACATCCTTGAAGGAGTTAGATATAAAGAAGATGGAGAAATTTTTCAGAGACATGAATAAAAAGAAAATAAATTCCACACTGATTGTCCAGAACTTGGGTGACTTTGTTTGTGGTGCCAACTCTTTTTTACGTGTACAAAGCAAACGTTCTGAGGACCTGTTTGAGAGATTTCGATCTCATGGGCGACTGTCGAGGGGAGAATCAGACGGGAGCACAACAACTAATGATTACGGAAAGGATCGTAAGTTTGTCTGCATTTCAAGGAATACTGTCTGTGATATTAAATTATTCATTGAAGCTACAGAACTGGAATTGACATTTTTAGAAAAAGAACAATTACAGTGAAAACTGTCTAATCTGACACCTCTGCAATCTGTCACACTGTAAATTCTGACTGTTTATTTCTTTCCAATTTTATTCTTTTCCATGTTTTTACACTGTGCAATCTGGCACCTTGTCTATTCTGACACAAAATTTGTCTCCCAGTGCATGTCAGATTAGATAGGTTTCACTGTATAAATATTCCAATGTGTACATTATTTTAATAATCATTGATAATTCGGAGATGACTACAAGATTCCTGTTTTTGTGTAGGTCCATTGTGTCGAGACCTGGTCAACTTCCTGAATGAGGATGTCCAGACTCAAATTCTTTGGAAAAATCTCAGACCAGTGGTTCTCGGAAGGATCACATATGCCCCTGACACACCATCAGTCAGGAAAATCATAGAAAAGGTACAAACAAAAATTGTAGCATACAAACTGAATCCCTTTGAATACACATATTTTCAGGCTTCAGTAATTACCGTAAGCAAGGAATAGCCTGTTTTTATATTCTAACTTTATGTAACTTTTTCATTTCTTTAGGCTAATCAAACATTCTCAGACTTTGCCAGAGCTGTACAGTTGGCCAAAGACTGGGAAGGCTATATAGAGTCTGTACAGAATCACTTTGCTGGGAGTTCAACATATGATATTCTCAGAGTAAGTCAACAATGATCAAATCCTATACGTTATCATCAGAGATTCTTTATTCAATGATTGGGAAACTCTAAATACATGAGCTGAATTTGATGGTCTGAATTTTCTTTACCTTTCTGGTTATTGGGGTTAAAAAAATCAAGAAGATAGAAATTACTAAAAGTTGGAACATGAATTAATACTGTTAGCTTGATGGCAGTAAAGTTTAGGATTAGATAATGGATGGTTTTGACTTGTAGAGGTTTTCTGGCTCTTGTCTGTGTGACCTGGTAGAGAACATTACTATGTCAGCCTTTGGTAAGACTAAGACCGTGGGGATCTGTCGATTCACCAAGACTCTGCTGAGCGGGAACCCAGACATCGGAAACTATAACTGGAGGGACATCATCAAGTTCACCAAGTCACTGGCCAGGGTCCTAGCCGATTACGGAGAGGTAATGGCAGACTTTTCTCTTTAAAAAAATTGAAAGATTGTATTTGTTATCATTTAGATTGATTCACAGTCTTTTATTAAGCAGGTGTCATTTTAGAAATTATCGATATGAACTTTTCCTTTCCATTTCCCAAATTCTTATGTTAATGGCAAGTTTGAAACATAAGTTAATAACAATGTTTTTGTGTTCCAGTGCATGGTTTTTGACAAGTTTGTTGGATTTGCTACAGAAGAAGAGATGCTCACAGAAAGCACAAAAATGGTGGAAAACAACACACTGTGGGGTGGTGGGTATTCAAAGGAAATAATTATATTTAAATATTAATACAAATGATTTTGAATTTGTAATATTTAGATTAAAAATAAAAGGTATTTGTTATCTATGCATTACAGCATGATAGTATTACATGTACAGCATTGTTGAAGTTTGATTTGAATTGTAGTCCCGATATAAGACCAATGCTTTATTTGTATTGTAGCCTTGGTGTTTGATATCAACAATGAAACACACAAGTACTCACTGCCTACTCATGTCTCCTACAAAATAAGGATGGACGCGGACAGAGTGGACACCACAGACAGAGTACTAGACCAGTAAGAGACCTAGTTAATTATAACAAATCCTGCCTATTTACGTACATATTATTTGGTAGGCAGATTATCAAAGGATGCTGTGGGGTCAAGCAATGAATTCCACAATGAAAGCATCCAGTTTATTGCATCTTGATTTTTTTATTTCATTTCAATTATCATTTTAAAGTTATGGTAAGATAAGATTCTTGCAATTTTACTCATGTCACTTTCTCAGTGAAGTGGAATGGAGGGTAGGTTTTCTGATTGTTGTGACTTTTTGCCTCTCCTCCTCTCTCTCTGACCCGAGTATATCTGTCCTCTCTCTGGTTGTAGAGTGTACAAGCCTGGTCCTAGGAGAACCCCGGGTAAAGAGACAAAGTTCCTGACTTATGGATTTGCTTATCTCCAGGACATGGTGGAACACGCCATCATAAAGGTACAGACTGGCTCCGACAAGGACGTGGGTGTCATGGTGGAGCAGTTCCCATACCCCTGCTACATAAGGGACTCGTAAGTCAATAGAGCATTTCCGAGGGCAAAAACAGATGAAGTAAAAATATTAACTGTGAATTAATTTATATTAACTATGATTATTAATTATAACTATTAATTTGTGATTCACTTAGAACTATAAGATACTTATGTTACAATGTAATTTTCAATGTTTGTAGTATCTAGGTTACTTATAAGTATGGTTTCTGTAAAATTGAGTGACTCCTACTTATATTTTCTATCAGAGTCTCTTTCATGTTATGTACACTTCATTCTACAGGTTTACATATGCCATTGAGATAGTTCTTCCCTTGCTCCTCGTCCTGGCCTGGATTCTACCAGTGGCCATGTTGTGTAAGAATATTGTGTATGAAAAGGAGAAGAGGTTAAAGGAAGTGATGAGGATGATGGGATTGGGTAATGGAGTACACTGGCTGGCCTGGTTCATCAATGCGTTTGTTGTCATGATGTTCACCATGGGACTTCTTGTTATTCTATTGAAAGTAAGTCCCCGTTATTTTTAATTTCCCAATTTTTTGAATTGCTTTTAGATTAAATAGAGAAGTGAGGTATGTTTTTCAAATTTAGGTAATTCAGATGTGAAAAAGACTGAAACTCACACTAACCATTGCTATATGGAAATATTTGTTTCTACTTTCAGTTTGGTAAAGTCATCCAGCACACAGACCCCACCGTTCTGCTGTTCTTCTTCAGTACCTTTGCCCTGGCCACCATCATGCAGTGCTTCTTCTTCAGTGTGCTGTTCCATCAGGCTAACCTGGCAGCATGTAGTGCAGGTTTCCTATACTTCACCTTATACATCCCATACGTTTTAGCTAAACGGTGGCAGGAGGTTCTACATCTACCAGAAAAAATGGCTATTGTAAGTAGTTCAAAAGTCAATTCTTTTAATTAGCTAACTTTATTTGGATGATTTTTAAATTTGTGGTTTTTGACTCTAATAACAAAATGAGAAGAAAAATGTATGATCAATCAGATAATATTCTCATCTATAGAAGCTGAATTTTGTAATACATGTATCAATGAATTATTTTTTATCTCTTTTTCTAATAGTGTTTATCCTCCAGTATTGCTTTTGGCTTTGGCTGCTTTAAGATATCCCAGTTTGAGCAGCAGGCAGTGGGGGTACAGTGGCACAATATCTGGGACAGTCCAATGACTGGGGACGATTTCTCCATGATGCACATTATCATCATGATGTTCGTGGACACAGTGTTATATGGCCTGCTTACTTGGTACATAGAGGCAGTGTTTCCAGGGGAATATGGAATCCCAAGGCCATGGTACTTCTTTGTACTGAAGTCTTACTGGTGTGGAAACCAAACCAAAGAAGGCAATTTAGAAGAGGGCCTTTCACCTTACTTTGATTCAGAAGGTGAAACATTACTTCTTTTTTACTATCATAGATAATTATGTATGAACTGGTATCAGGCTGGTCCCCTCTTGCATGATATATATCTATTGAACTTCTTATAATATGTAGTAGATGTAATTTTTAAGTACCGTACCAGTAATGAAAAAAGTTTGTGAAACCAACATGGAAAAGAAAACTTTAGGTATATGAATATAGTATTTAAATATTCATATATGCATGTTTGTATATTTTTGATTGAAATATTTGATATTATTATTAAGGTTGTGTCTTTCTTTGAACAGGTAAACCAGTAGAGGATGAGCCACAAGATAAAACCTTGGGTGTGGGTATCCGGGGTCTGAAGAAGGTGTACACTGAGGGTAACAAGGTGGCTGTTAATGGACTGAGTCTCAACTTCTACGAGGGACAGATCACTTCCTTTCTGGGTCACAATGGAGCTGGCAAAACCACCACCATGTATGTGTAGAAAAATAACCTGTCCTATATAACCATCAATGCTTGCTTGAATTGAATATAGATCCTTTGATATTACATGCATGTTGTTATCCATATCCTTGTAGTTTGACAAACCCTTAAGTTAGATCATATCCTGAAGATAAAAGGATAGGTAGGATCTTCAGTCACAATTTGGAAGTATAAAAAGAAAAGCAATGTTTACTAAGTTTTCAATGTTTACTGAGTCTACAAAATATTTTAAAAAAATCTTTTTTATCTTTTAGGTCTATTCTGACAGGGATGTTTCCGCCTACAGATGGCACTGCATACATTTATGGAAAAGACATCAGGAAGGATATGGATGAGATAAGACAGAGTCTAGGAGTGTGTCCGCAGCACGACCTACTGTTCCAATTGTAAGGCAGTCCAAGAGTATCTGATGTTTACTGCACGTTTCTTTGATACTGTGCATGTATTGAATATGTCCTCAACTAGACATTTTCACCCTGATTTATTTTTACCCTTTGCTTTTCAGTATGACGGTGAGGGAACACCTCTGGTTTTATTCACAGTTAAAAGGTCTAAGTCTACAGGAGACGGCTAATGAGATCAATCCAATGATTAAGGATGTAGGACTGAGTCACAGGAAGCATGCATTTCCTCACATGTTGTCAGGTAGGCATTAAAAAAAATGTAGTAATGAACAGGGAAAAAATTATTGAATTTTGTTATACTTGTAAATGGTAAATATCTAATACTGGTACTTTGACCTCAATTATTTCTAGGTGGAATGAAGAGAAAGCTGTCTGTAGCAATAGCATTTGTAGGACATGTGAAGACAGTTATACTGGATGAGCCTACAGCAGGAGTGGATCCTTACTCAAGGAGGTCAATCTGGGAATTACTGCTCAAATACAAAGAAGGTAGGTAGACCTAAGGAAGGGTTTTAATGGTACATAGACAAAGAAAGGGTTTTTTAAAAATGCCACTGCTGTAATTCAAGTTTGACTTTTATGTTACATGATGCAAAAACCTGTTATTTCTGTAATATGGTAAAGTTAGAAAACCTGTTATTTTTGTATTGTGGTAAAGTTACACAATATTAAAGAAGTTTCTGCTTGTATTTCATTTCATTTGGCATTTTAAAAGTTGTTTAGTCAAGATAAGGACATTTTAATGAATGCACAAAATATTTACATGTTTGGACTGTATCTCACACCAAATTGACAGAATTTATTTTACTACCCTCAGGTAGAACTATAATTTTATCAACCCACCATATGGATGAAGCAGACGTGCTTGGAGACAGGATAGCCATTATCTCCCAGGGAAAACTCTGCTGTTGTGGCTCCAGCCTCTTTCTGAAATCTCAGTATGGCAATGGTTACTATCTAACAATAGTCAGGAACCTGAGTGAAGACCACACTGAAGTCAAGGGAGATAAATGTGGAAATGATCAGATGAGTCCTCTCCCTTTAAGGAAAAGTCCTATTCCAGCTCCAAGAAGAAAAGCAAATCAGAAAGGGGTAAGACATTGCTTTCTTCAAGCACAATTTTAAACATTGGCTTTTTTTTGTGAATTTTGAATTGAATAAAGTACAATGAAAATAATGCATTATCATTAAATGAGCATCTAAATGTTGATAACAGTATTGGGGATAGTAATGATGGTTTCTTTATAGGGTGATGAGACAGAGGCCATTCACCATAGCATATCCTGTGTAGAGAAGTTAAAGAAAGAGGAAGGGACTTGTCACTCAGTATGTGGAGCAGGGACCACAGGGGCCACTGTCATAACAGGTCTGCTTAATCTCAAAACCGTCCATCAATTTTTTAAATAGTATATTCAAAGGTTGTTGATTTTCATGCTCAAATTCACTGATGAAGCAATCCAAGGTTATTGTTTCCAGATGAATTCCTCCAGTTTACTAGGAAGCGCCTGTTGGCATTTGTGAAGAAGTTTGTGAAGAAGGCTAAGTTTGTAGAGGACAACTCGACAGAAGTCACCTTCCTGTTACCAGAGGCCAGCGCTCACAACGGAGACTTCGAGGACCTGTTTATGGAGTTAGAAAGATCCAGGAAAAAGTTAGGAATCTCCAGCTTTGGTGTGTCAGACACTAGTCTGGAGGAGGTGTGTTTTAATGAAATCATTACTTTGAAATAATTTATAGATATTGAAAAAAAAATACCAGTGTTTTTGAAACAATTTTTTTTTACTTTTTGAGATTCTAAAGAATTGTTGACATTTTTTCAGGTTTTCTTAAAAGTTGCTGAAGAGGATGGAGAAAAACAGACTGATGAAGTGAAAAGAAACAAATTGGAAGAAAACACAGATAGTAAGCAAACTATAAACTATAGTTATATCCATTAAGTCTATAAAACACAGACAATTCAATAAATGCAGCACCTAAGGAATGTAGGAAATTTTTGAAAAAGCTTTAAGAAATTTGAAAAATTGGAACTGCATGTATTTTGGTGAAGTACAGAATATGACCACCCTAAAAATATGGGTGATCAATAAGAAATAATATCTTAAAGTCATACTGTGACACATTTTTTTCAATGTTTTTCAGGAGGAAGAGTGCCCCGGCCAGTAACCAATCTGAGTTTCCGACATAACAGGAAGGCCTCGTATCTCAGATCCCAGTCTGTGGAGGAGAAAAACAACAAAATCAACCTGGAGGAGGGCAGTGCTGGTAGGAGGGGGACTCTTCATTTTTAAATGACACTAAAAAATTCTGTGATTTTATCAAATTTTAGTTTTAGGGCAAAGTGTTCAATCATTTCTAATATTTAAGATTCATAATGAATGATTTAGATCCATGTTTTACACAAAGTAAATTGTCATGAAAAGCTAGGACTAGTTTGTTTATTCACAATTATTTTTAAAAATCGGTATAAATTTTTTAATAATTTAGATGGATTCAATCATGAGCTACAAGAAAGAGTACAAGGGAAGAAACTCTTGTTCATGCAGTTTTATGCTTTACTTATCAAGAGATTTCATCATTTTAAAAGGAGCAAAAAAGGATTTCTTTGTGAGGTAAGATGATGTCTCTAATTCAGACATTAAGCTTCAATAATGTGTGAGGTTCTTTGTAGGCAATTGAGTTTCAAGAATTTCTTACAGAAATCACAAACTTTTAAGTTTTTCACAGTGAGAGAGTGTCATTTTTCTTATATTGAGAATACATGTACAGACAACTTAAAAATGCATAAGATTAAAAAAAATGCCAGATATATGTTAGAATGACAAAGTTATAATACACACTGTTGCAAAGTATAAAAATTATCATTGAGGTGGGCACAATACAGAGTTAAGTGTTTTAGCAAAGATTTTTTCAGTTATGATTAGTAGTGAATACTCAATAGAAACTCTTTTTTTCACAGATTGTCATGCCAGTGCTATTTATCCTGATATCCATGGTGTTTGCCAAAATAGAATCTCCCTTTGCAGAACCCCAGCCAATGACTCTGCACCCCTGGCATTTTACACCAAAGAGAAATGACCCACATTTATATATGTTCTACAGGTATTATGAAATTAAGGCCTTAATACTTCAAAATCCCCTAAGTTTTATGTTGATGATGGAAAATGAATATTACAAGTGTCTTAGTGTTTACCACAGATATTTGATTTAATCGTTTTAGTTTGGATGAAAATTCTCGTTTGGGTAATAACCTGGTCAGAACATTGAAATCTGATTACGGCATAGGCAACCGCTGTCTGGATCCAGAGGTCTATACATTACAGTAAGTTAATCATCTAAGATATTTTAAGACAAGTATAAGGTAATGTTTTTAAATATTTTCTAAATTTATTTTTATTAATTTATAGGGAGTACCCTTGTCGACCTCAGTATGCAGCCATATATATAACGGACACTAGCAGCAACCAGACACAGGATTGTTCATGTAGCACGGGTGTACAGTATTGTCCAAAAGGTACATTGTTGTCAAGCTATAAAATAAAGAAATTAAAATTTTGATAGTACCATATTTTGGATAAACATTTGATTTTGGTTTAATTTACTTTAATTCTTCCTGCCTATAGGAGCAGTAGGTCCAGAGCCTCCCTTACAGATGCTGGCCTCCACAGATTACCTGTATGACCTCACAGACAGAAACATTTCTGATTGGTTACTGAAGACGAATGACCAGTTCATTGGAAAAAGGTATTGTTTTGAAAACTTATAAAATTGATCAGTTTTTTAGTGTTCTGCTTGACAAAGAAGAAAACAAGAGGTCTGTCAGCCACTCTGTTTTAGTAATACACTGTACCTTGCTCAGACTTTAATTTTTTGGAGTTCAATTTTCTAACAGTGTGCCATAGAACTATGACCTTCTTGTTTACTAAATGTGCAGCTGAAATCCATCAGTATATATTATACACCCTACAGGTTTTGATTATATAATTACTCATCATCCCATCACATCAGTGTCATTAAATTTCTCTATTTTTCAGATTTGGAGGATTTTCTTTTGGAGAGAAGACTAAGCTAGCCAAACTGAACAATAAGAATGTACATGAGTTACTACAGAAATTCTCCTCTGTGAAGACCTCTGACAAGTCATACGGCATAGACAACAACAAAATCTGGAGCAATGTTGCTCTGTTATTAAACACAATGGCAACAGAAGATATTGCCAAGGTAACTGATGAGTAAATTTTATATTTAAAAGAATTTTGAATATACGAGGGCCGTTCAAAAATTACGCATACTCTGCTATTATTTACTCTTACAGACGTCATATAGTTATGAAATTTCACAGAAATATGTATCTTAAAGATTCCGATAAATTTTGGGCAATATTTCTGTATTTTAAAAAAATTCTACGAAAATTATCGGTATGTTGATATCGCTGATGGAGAGGTATGGAGCACGACAAAAAAAATTGAAGCAAAAGCATGCGAAATCCAAAATTTAACTCATTAATTTTCTATAATTCGCGATATTTTTCGACAACTTTCTCAAATGTATCTTTAAATTGTTCTGTTATTATGTATTTAGATTTCTGACATGATATTTGAACTACTAACAGAAATATAGTGATTTTTCCTGATGCAATTCCCGTGAAAACGACTGTGAAAATGACGTCTCCTGAATTGACGGCGCACCACACTTTTGTTAAATTATGTGTAATGCTCGAGATATCGCCAACATAGATCCAAAATATGCATAATAAAACATGTAGTAAACTAGGGTATTCGTGACATTCGTCCACAAATAGCAAAATGAAATTTTAGACTGTTAGACCTCTGTAAAAAGGCTATACGGGAGGCCTAGAAGAAGATTATCGACGAAAACATTAATCGGACAGTAAAGAATGTGATTGAGAGTCACCAATATCAAACTATATCTCATAAATACTTGCAGTTTTTGGTTTTAAAACAAAAATAGAATATTCTTCACTTGTTTAATAGATTTTTAAGCTCGACAAGAAATGGTGTTTGGATGTTGAGTAGATAAGGTAACTCAAACTGTACATGTACTCTTTGGAAAATTTTGAGAAAATGAAAGCTCAGTCACATATTTTTTCATAATGCCTGTGACGTGGAAGATTTTGCGGCTCCGTCACTCAATGATATGTCCTGATAAATCACTCAAAATTGATACCAATTTACAACATTTTCATATGAAATTTTGAAGACAATATAAGTAAAGATTCTTTTATATTATGTGTGTCATTTTGGCCGATTATGTCGTCAAATATTTTTTCAGTGCAACAAGTCCGCATAATTTTGAACGGCCCTCGTACATGTACAATGGCTGTTGTGTTCAGTTTTTAAAACCAGAACAGAAGTAGATCAAGCAAGGTTCATTTTCTCATTTTATAATATTTGACTTGGTTATTAGGTTTGGTACAACAACAAGGGTTACATTGCGGTGGTGTCCTACATGAATGTGGTGAACAATGTGATATTGAGGAGTAAGCTTCCCCGTAACAAGGACCCCTCCCAGTATGGTATCACGGTCATCAACCACCCCCTACAGCTGTCCCAGCAACAGTCACAGCAGGAGTCCAAGTAAGTATAAGCAGTGGTCCAAGTAAGTACACATGTTGGACCAAAAAGATTAAAAAAAAAAGCAGTAGTTCAAGTAATTTTCAATTCATTAAGTAAAATATACATGTAAATAGGCAATAGTTTCATAGATTCAGAGGAAATCATTTAAGAAATATATAATAAAAATGTTTTTAAATCCTTTTATAATATGAATCTTTCCAGATTTAACAGTAAGGCTGACGTGCTGGTGGCGACCTGTGTTATCTTTGCCATGTCTTTTATCCCAGCCAGCTTTGTTATGATTCTGATTGAGGAGAGGATCTCCAATTCTAAACATCTTCAGTTTGTTAGCGGGGTCAATCCGGCCATATACTGGTCAACCAACTTTCTCTGGGACATGGTATGAATTATTACTTAATTAAATCTTAATGACTTTTGAATTCCGTCATTATTTTTAAGAGCACTTGACATTCCAGACCATTTTGCTTATTCTGATACCTTATATTTTGTTGCAGCTGAATTACTCCATCTCCTGTGTGCTGTGTGTGTGTATCTTCCTGGGGTTCCAGGTGGAGGCATATGTCAGCCCCACCAACCTTCCCTGTCTCATTCTACTGCTTATCATGTTTGGGTAAGAGAACTCAATATTTACTGTTTACTAAATTTATTAAAAATATAAATTCTGTTCTCTAATTTTTAAAGGTGAAGCATTTGGATAAATGGCAAATGCATGGATTAAACAGGCCTTACTGCAATAGATTTTAAAAGATAATATTCATTTTTTGACTTACAAGGAATATATTGAAACTATGGAGGCTTTTTAATTTAGCTATGCATTGATTCCCATGATGTACCCCTTCTCTCGTGTGTTTAATGTGGCCAGCACTGCCATGGTGACTTTGAAATCTATAAATATCTTTATTGGGACCACGTCCACCCTGTCCACGTTTATTTTAGAACTTCTTGCAGAGGAAGATGAGGTTTGTTTATCATGAATTATATGCAATATTCTCCAGAAATTTTCATAATTTAATTATATGTGCATGTAAATTTTAATTTAAATGAAATAAAATGTATGTCACCTGAAATTTACAAACATACTATATGTACATGAAGTTCCTCTCAATTTTCAGCAACTGCAGTACATCAATGAACTGTTGAAGAACGTGATGTTGATTTTTCCTCAGTATTGTCTGGGTCTGGGATTAATGGAGATGTCAAGGAACCAACTCTATTCTGATGCATTCAAAAAATTCAGTAAGTTCACCCCCAAAACAGGTGATTTTAAGTTCAGTGTTTTGTTCATAAAAATGTTTTATAGGAAACACTTGGTTCATATCTCGGCTTCCCTCCTCCAACTTAGAAAGGAGAGACGAACCAGCTTTACTATTAATTTCTAACAGTTAATTTTATAGCAGTTTGAGCCGAACATTTACATTAAAGACCAAGGAATTAGTTTTCAGTTTTAGCCAGCATCTTTGATCAAAAGAAAACAAAAAGTTTGTTACAAGAACATATTATAGTATGTGTACAATGTGCTATAGAAAAATATGCTGCTGCCTGTAGTATTTTTACAGTTTTGTCACTGTAAAACATATTTTATATGATTTGGACAGATATGAAGAGTCGTGTATCCCCCCTTCAGTTTGATATGGTGGGGAAGAACATCCTGGCTTTGTTCCTGCAAGGGACCTTGTTCTTTTTCCTCAACCTTCTCATTGAATACAACTTCTGTTTGAAGCCAAGGTAACATAAAATAATTTACTAAATTTCAATACCACATGTTCTAGGAATATTTAAATAATATATTTAATTCATTATCCTGCTGTACTGAGTATTTATCTCGCTATTTAACGTTATTTTGTCCCTGACAGACAGATCACAATGAAGGACTATCCGTACGGGGAGGATGATCTAGACGTGGAGAAGGAGAGGAGGCGGGTGTTAGAGGGAGGGGCAGCGGAGGACGTAGTCAGGGTCGAAAACATGACCAAGGTACAACTTAACCATGTTAAATAATATACTATTAGGTACAACTGAATCACGTTACATTATACAAGGTCTGTCATCAATTTGGCAGGTGATATGTAATGTAGTGGGAATGATTGATTGATTGTATATTGTTTAATTCCCTCTCGAGAATTTTTCACTCATATGGAAACGCCACCATTTGCTGGTGGAGAGCTGCAAATTTTGTCCTATACTCGGCACTCAGGGCCAGTGAGCAGGGAGGGATCTTTTTTGTGCCAGCACCTACTGTGACATGGGATCTTGGTTTATACAGTCTCATCCGAAGGACTGGTCTCCACGTCCCACAGTGGTATTCAAACCTGTGACCCAAGGATCAACTCCTTACTTTACGACTCTAGAGCAGAGGCTCTAACCGCTGCGCCACGCGGGCGACCTAGTTGGAATGAATTGCTGCTTGTTTAGTTGAAGTAGATGCTTAAATATGCTTATACATGTACATGAACTAATTTAAATACCTTTACATTAAATATACTAAATACATGTAGATAAAGTATCACTTTGAAACATTTTTTGAGATCAAGATAAAAGTTTGTGTGTGATCAAATTTAGCATAAAGCCCTATGGGTAAAGAGTTTAATTATTTTCAACTTACAGATTTATAGAATGGCAGAGGGAAAATCTAAGCACACAGCTGTAGATCGGCTGTGTGTGGGAATTTCCAGGGGACAGTGTTTTGGATTGTTGGGGGTAAATGGAGCAGGGAAAACTACAACATTTAAAATGTTGACAGGAGATATTCCAATATCCAGTGGAGCAGCTTACATTGCTGGTCATAGGTTATAACCTCATTTCTTGATTTTACTTTGATCTTGAAATAAAGTAAATTTTACTGAAATTCCAATTAGAGATCTTTAAGGAAAATTTTTGCAAGAAATAGCTTAAATTTTTATTTATGCTTCTTAATAAACTCTTTCAAATTTTTGAAAAAAAAAAAGTTTTCTCAAGTTAGGCCAAAAAAAATTAATCAACAGTTTCTCAGGCACCGCCGCATCAGTTCAAAAACGGCCGCACTGTTCAATTTTATTGACATATTGAAAAGGGAAATAACTCAATTTTCTATTTTTCCAAGTTTAAAAAGAAAATTGAGTTATTCCCCTTTTCAGAAATGCTAAGATAGACGTTTTTATTATAGTAAATATTTCTTCAAAATTTACAATATTTGATGAATTAACTTTAAAATAAAAATTTGGAATAGCATTATTTAAAGTTGAATACATATTATAACTAATTTCAGAGAACAAAAATTAAGAATTTAATTATAGTAGATATTATCATTTTATTGAACAAATGGCTTAAAAAAGGTGTAAAACCTGTCAACCTGTTAAAAAAAAAAAGCCTGCCTGCCACATTGAATTTTGATTTTTTTGGCCTGAGAAACTATTGATTAATTTTTTTTTGGCCTTATTTGAGTCAGTTTTAAATGATACATTTATATATAATTTTCAGTTGTTTTTGTCAATTCAATTAAATACCTAATGAAAATGAATACTATAATATTGCAAATATTATATATCCAAATTTCTTACTGACTAGATTACTAAACAAATAATTTAATATTAATTATCTACTTTTGTGTTTCAGTGTTATAGATGAAATTGACACTGTACGGAAGTCTGTAGGCTATTGTCCACAGTTTGATGCCTATGACTTTTTACTTACATCTAAAGAAGTGCTAATATTTTATGCTCGACTACGGGGAATTCCCGAAAAAGATGTCAACAAGGTGAAAATTAAGAATTCTTCACTGTATGTTACCATATTTCAGAAAAAGTTGCATTTAGATTGTTAAAGTTTATTCATTTTTTTAAGTGAGATGTTTAAAGGTGTTTTAAACAGAAATCTATAGATTTTTAATTGCTTTCATTAACAGGTGGCTGACTGGGGAATCAAGAAGTTGGGACTGATTCCTTATGCTAACAAACTATCAGGGGGGTACTCAGGGGGAAACAAAAGGAAACTGTCCACAGCGATAGCTCTACTGGGAAATCCTAAAGTCATCTTCCTGGTGAGTTCTATTTAATAATTTTAAAACAATGGAAAACACTTCACGCATGCTTAAGTGTAGAAAAAAAAACTTTTACTGCAGTGCAGCCTAATGGTATTTTGTTGTTCTCCAGGATGAGCCTACCACTGGTATGGATCCGAAAGCCCGGCGCTTTTTATGGACCTGTATAAACAGTATTGTCAAAGATGGCCGCTCAATCATATTGACTTCCCACAGGTAAATTAATATGTTTTTACTTCATGCTCAGGCATTTATCATTTGAAAAGGGTTCAGAGATTATAAACACTGTTATCTTTATATGTAGGGAGAATTGTTTCTGAAGGTCACTGATGACAATGACATTTTCCTGTAAACAAAATTTTAAGTTCCTTTTATGTAATTTATTTCACAGTATGGAAGAATGCGAAGCTCTGTGTGGCAGGTTAGCCATCATGGTCAATGGAAAGTTTAGATGTATTGGCAGTATTCAGCACTTGAAAAACAGGTCTGTAGATATATTTTTCTAATATATGTGCCATTTTTATTCAGACGTTAATCAATATCAGAGGAAAACTTGCAAAGTAATTTTGATCAATTAATTTTTTTTATGTTTACGTACTCTACATTCCTTAATATATGATTAATATTTTGTGGTACAGATTTGGGGATGGCTATACTATTCTGATTCGAGTCTCGGGAGCTAACCCTAACCTGGAGCCAGTTGAGCGCTACATAAACACAATGTTCCCTGGCAGCACTCTGAAGGAGAAACATCACAACATGCTTCAGTATCAGCTGGGCCCCACCATCAAACTGTCCTACATATTTGGTCAGATTGAGTCTGTACGGCATGAGTTCTCTATAGAGGATTATTCTGTGTCACAAACCACACTGGATCAGGTCAGTTTTGAGCTTGAGTCTTATTCATATCAAACTATAGTCTTATTCATATCAAACTTAAAATGATAAGTAATCTTTTTTCAGCCTTTAACTTCAGCCTTCAACTAACGATAAACTTAAAAGTATGATGCTTGCTTTTATCAATGTTCAAAGATTAAGGTTATAAAATTTGAATACATAAACAATCAGTCAAGAGAGAAAGGGTGGGGATGAGTACAGCCTTCTTCTAAATTAACTTTCTTCTCGTTTTAGGTGTTTATTAATTTTGCCAAGAATCAGACTGATGTTCTTCCTGAGGAAGAAAATATCCCAGATACTACTCAAGCCACAGGTAGTTAAAATAACATTTAAAAAAAATGCTCATTGCATTTTCTCTCATGGTTGTCATTTATTACTAAGAAATGTCCCAAATTGCTGAGCTTAGATTTATACTTTTCCTCAGTTAAAAAACAAAGCTATGGAAAATTTTGCTTGACCTAGTGTACAAAAACTTGTTCAGTTTGTTTTCATGCAAGTAATACTACGTTTTTCAACTGCAGCTAATGAAATTCTAATTATGAATGATTTATCATGCATGAAATAATATTTAAACTTAACCTCGCTAATATTTCAGGTGAGAACGTCCATTCCCTGGAGACTCAGTACCTTCAGAGTCTGAGAGTCAGCCAAACAGGAAGTACCATACATCTGATTGGAAGTGAGGCTGATGACCCAATTTATGTCAATACAGCATTCGTATCAGAATTAGAAGAAACTGATGTTTGAATTAATTACTTGTGCAGATTTTAAAATGTTTTTATTTATTTTGGATGGTTGTGTTGTATTAATGTTATTTATTTATGGCTTTAATGTGCTATGTACTGTGTGTTTTCTGATTAAATGACAAGATCTTTATTTATATGCAATAAAAATTTTGAATTTTTTCAAGTAATTTTTTTTATAATTTCTGAAACCCATCTTTTTTACCTGAGTTAGGTTTTAACAACTGGTAACCATTGCAGTCCAAAGACTTTAACATTTGTGCCATATCTGATAGGAGCTAACGAAAAACAGTTTTTGTAAGCTGTCAATGATGTCATAAAGTCTGGACTATAATGTATCGTATCAAATAAATAAATAACCAGACGTCTCTGTTGAGACTGTAGCTCTACTGGTTTGTACTTATAACAAAGGATGAGAAAAGAAGCCATTGCCACCAGACCAAAACTGTAGGAAGAGTAGCGTTTTGAAGGAATTTCACAGAAAATTCTATTTTTAGTAACCATGGCGACACCGTTCATCGAAATCAAAACTGATGCACTAAATTACTAGTATGTATCACAGTGTAGCCTACTTGTGTGCCAAATTATATTGAAATCAGACCAAAACTATAGAAGGAGTAGCATTTTAAAGGAATTTCACAGAAAATTCTGTTTTTAGTAACCATGGCAACATCGTTCATCGAAATCAAAAGCCGATGCACTATTTTATGTATCTAAGTGTAGTCTACTTGTGTGCCAAGTTATATTGAAATCAGACCAAAACTGTAAAAGGAATAGCATTTTGAATGTATTTCACAGTAATTTCTATTTTTCGTAACCATGGCAACACCGTTCATTGAAATCAAAAACCAATGCACCATTTAACGTATCTTAGTCTAGTCTACTTGTGTGCCAAGTTATTTTGAAATCAGACCAAAGCTGTAGGAGGAGTAGCGTTTTGAAAAATTGTTTACAGACAGACGGACAGACAGCTGGACAGACGGACGGACGACGGACACCTTACTATCGCATAAGCTCTTCTGGTCTCTGACCAGTAGAGCTAAAAATTGATGATGTACCCATTATAAGAATAAGAATCTATCATGGCTGTTGTTAGCATGAAATATGAATATATTATAAATTAAAATATTACTATTACAAATGCATTTCTTATTAAATTAATTTCTACTGGTCAGAGACCAGAAGAGCTAAAAATTGATGATGTACCCATTATAAGAATAAGAATCTATCATGGCTGTTGTTAGCATGAAATATGAATATTTTTATATTATAAATTAAAATATTACTATTTCAAATGCATTTCTTATTAAAATGGTCAAAAACTTAAGTACAAAGGCCCCCGATGACCTTTTATCTATTCATACTGTACATTCTCTTATCAAAAGCAGCCATCTTACTGAATTACTGAAATATGGCTCCAAGAGGAATATATTCTATAGCTTTAGTTGTTGTATTCATTCTAACATTGAGCAATGCCGACGAAATAACTTCATTAAAAGATGAAATCGAGAATGTAAAAAAGTTAATGGACAACAAAATGAGAAAATCGTAACACTTAATTGAGAGCGATAATGTTCTTAAAATCAAAGTTGAGGCTCTGACCGAAGAAAACGAATTTCTTAAAACCAAAACTTTTGATTTAACCAAACAAGGTGAACTGTTGAAGAACGAAGATTTGCGTACGAAGGAAAATTTTGACAAGATTGAAAAGGAAAGCAATTCTGTACATCAGAGCAGCCCATTGCTAGACGAATCAGGAAAACCGTCGTATAGAAATATACCAACAAAAGGACGTAAGCATCATACTTTTTTATGTATACATGTTTCTTATATATCAGGTATTCAACAGGTAGGGACCACATAGGATCCAACTGTCAAACAATTATAAGATCCTGTTTGGACTATGCATGTAATATTCCAAAATAGGTTATAAGTTTCCAGAGCTAATAAAAAAAAAGAAAAAAAAAAGATTGGAGCACTGAAAATTCTAGGAATACATAAATACTAGCAGCAACCATTTTTGGTAGAATTTTTTTATGCTCCTTCTTGGAACATAGATCACAAAGAATATCCAAAACGATATATGGCACGCCAAATTCACAAAAATGAGCTAAACATAGTTTTACATTGGATAAACTAGGTTTATTGACTGTAAACTATATTTAACGGTTGTTAACTATAGTTTACGAATGCTAATCTAAGTTTATCTGTCTGTAATAAAACGTTAACAATAGATTTTGTTGAAAAACATAGATTCACGTCTGTAAACTATAATTTACAATCGTGAACTATAGTTAAGAATTGTTAATCATAATTTCACAAATTGTGAAACTATATTTATCAGATCGTTAACTATAGTTAAGAGTTGTTAATCATAATTTCACAAATCGTGAAACTATATTTATCAGATCGTTAACTATAGTTAAGAGTTGTAAACCATAGTTTACAAATCGTGAAACTGTATTTATCAGATAATCTATGTTTTGCAATCGCAAATGATTGTTTTCAGTGTTAAGTATAGTTTACGATTCTGAAACATAGATTATCGCGTTAATTATTATTTATTTACAGTCCGTAAACTATAGTTAACAACCGATAAACCTAGTTTATCAATTGTGAAACTATGATTGGCTCCTTTTTGTGAATTTGGCGTGCCATAGATGTAAAATATAGATTAACTTTGGGCGAATTTGTTGCACATAAACTGGTTCAGGTTTTGATTTAAGGTTTAAAACTAGTTTTTCAAACTGGTTTAAATTTCAATCCGGTTTACCTCGGTAAAACAAATGAACAGTTTATACAAGATGGCGTCAAAAAGATGCAGAACAATATATGTATTAACCAAATATTACACATGCAAATAAATTTGTGAAAATCTTTTTCTTAATAAAAGAATCCAAGAAATTATAATATATTCATATTTTTTTATTATCTTACTTAAAGTTAAAGTGAAGTATTTATATTTTTATTGCCTCAAAGATTAATCAAATTAGCAATTTCCACATTTTTAACACATGGAAAGATAAACACTCAGGTATTCATAATTACTCCTTAGATTTCCAGTAATTTAGCTGTCTTTACAGTATGTTCTACAATTTATCATACATGTTGAAGTTTGTCCAAATGATTCAAAACTTATTTTTGAAAAGGTCAATTTAACATATTCTGTTCATTATTATTGAACAAACACCATTATTTTCAATATGCAGCATTTATCTTTTCTCTGAAGCCTTATATATAAAACATCACATATTAGAATGTGGCATTTTAGTCAAAAGAGTTGTTTGTCTTTATTTTTTTCTTTATAAGAATAGTCACCAACTTTCATCACCGCCATACTGGAATATTTCCCGCTCTTTCGTAAACCGAATAAACCACCATCGGAGGTGGTTTGGTTGGTTTAACAAACTGGTTTCAGTTACAGCCAAAACAAATGGAAAACCGGTTCTGGGTTTAAACTAGTTTAAAACCAGTTTGTGGAACAAATGAACAGTTTACAAAACTCGTTCAAAACTAAACCCAGTTTTTAAGAAACAAATTCGCCCTATGTTAACTATAGTTTACAGTCTGTAAACTTTAGTTTAAACCGATAAACCTAGTTTATCGACTGTGAAACTATGTTTAGCTCATTTTTGTAAATTTGGCGTGCCATAACGATACGTTCCTCAAATTTCTATTTTGTATATCTTCATTATGTATGAAAAATATCAAAAAAAATCTAATTACCTTTTGTTTTCTTCACAGATTTCTAATTCTTAAAAAATTTGAAACACCAAAAAATGTGATATTGGCAAATTAAGCATTTTCCCAAAAGGATTATTTAGGAAACACTACCCTCTGCTATCTTGCACAAATGCCTGGTAATTTACCCCAATTTTTTGTGAGGAAACATGTTTAGGTAGTAATAATTCAATGACAAAATCTAGGCGAAAATTATATATCATTGAGGAACGTATCGGTTGTCCTTAAGCGGACTTAAAATATTTCTAGCTGAATAATATTCTTTTTTGCACCGTTAAGACCATCCTCGCAATGCCAGCGGTCCTGAGTCGACACGTTACCGTTGGGCGGCGACGCGGATTCCTTGTATTGCGAGGATTTGTAAAGTTTTATTCCTATTTGGATGTTATATTGTATTACCTAACGGGCTATCATTTAAACTATAAAATGCTTTCTTTGTTTGTTATTACTGGAATTAACGGAAGCAGCTGTTGCAGAAAAAATACATAACATAACCCGCTTACGCGGGTTACGTAAATTTTTTATGCAATAGCTGCGACCGTTAATTCCAGTAATAACAAACAAAGAAAGACATTTTATTGTTTATATTTATATCTGTTTAAATAATCATTTAAAGTAGGATTAAAAAAATTAATTATTGTATTAATCATGCGAACGTCTTTATACGTTTCATTGATGGAACAGCGACGGATCAAGAATTCTGTACAGGCGACATGCCTAATGTAGTTCATGCAGTGATTAACGCAATGGGTTTTCTTAAGAAATAAAGGAGAAAATATTCAGTAGATGTAAATATATGACAATTGGGCTACTGGTCTCAAGTGACTACCAAGTGAGGATCATGTGTTTTTACATGTGCATAACATTAAAGACAAAAAACCTGATTTTGAGCAGAAACCGCAAAACATTTCATAATACTGGAATACATTTTATAAAACTGGACAAATCGTAAGTCAGAAAACGTTGTAAACGCTTGCTTCAAGAAACATCTCATTGTGTTTGCAGGTCGTCTTCTTGTACCTACCCCAGTACCCATGGAACCGATAGCATTTTACGCTTACATGTCCAAAACAGAACCAACACCGAGCAACCACCACACTCTTATCTTTGACGTCACGAAAACCAATCTCGGAAATGGTTACAATAAATATAGCGGGACGTTTGTGGCACCTACAGCAGGGGCATATGTGTTCACTTGGACGATCAACACAAATCCACACGGCGCCCACTTCATAAACTTAATGGTCAACAATGCTGTGGTTGGGGGAACCTTGACAGACACACAAGAAGCAAACGATTATGACTCTGACTCGTCGACAGTGGTGGTGTCCTTAAACAGCGGCGACAGCGTCAACCTTCGCACCACATCTGCGAGTGATCGAGCGGAAATCTATGTTGACATCCATGCCTTCACGTGCTTCAGTGGATGGAAAATTTAGAGCAAACTTACGAAAATAAAACTTTTTTCAAATTTATTTACAATGAATGCTTTCTTTTTTGTGGTTTATTCAGTTGTAAACGAAATTTTGTGGAAATGGACGTTTCATTTGTAGGAAAAGCGAGAAAAAAATCCACATAAAGCAGCCGAATTAAATAATAATTTTCAAACTATTGACTAGTTCACTACATATATCATACATGTACTCTTATATATCATATCTTTGAAAAAAAAAAAGCTTATTGGAACAGTCTGTTCTGTTTCTTATTCTCAATCCGAAGGCGCTCTATCTTTGATTGGTATTATTGACGACCAGCCAAGATATTGCACTGGAATTCAATGCATGGTACAAATTATCAGCAATTCATTTGTTTGACCTACTATTCTTGAACTGTTTAGTAATTCTTATCATAAAAATTAGCCATAGGACTATAGGAACATGAGCCTTAGCCATTTCAATAAACCATATTATTTGATATTTTTTGCTGTGTGTCATATTGTTGTCGGTGATCCAGTTGAAGATGACAGTGCTGCAATTAAAAAAGTCTTGAAAAACCTAAGCAATAATAATCGTAGGCTGGAAAAGGAAAACGAAATTTTGAAAACCGAGTTGTGGGATCTGAAGTCAAAGGTTTCAAAACTGCAAAAATTTGAAGTATTGGAAGAAGGACAAGAAGAGTCAATTGTTTCAAAATCGGAGATGCGGAATCGTAAGTCAATAAGTAATTATCTAGCTTCCTTGGTACATATTTAATTTTTCTTACTTTAAGAGACTCTCTCTCTTCGACTCTTATTCAGGAGTTTATTTTCGATAACTTTTTAGCTTTTAAAGAAAAAAAAGGCACAGATTAAGCAGTTTGTGGAAGATCACATTTTCTTTCCCATTATCAGGTCGACTTTTGATTGGACAAATAACTACCACACCTTCTACCCCAGAACCAGCACACTCAATCCCCTTCTATGCTTACATGTCCAAATCAGAACCGACGCCAAGTAACCATCATACTTTTTTGACGTCATCAAAACAAACCTAGGGAATGGATACAGCAAATACAGCGGAACATTTGTCGCACCCTCAAATGGGACATACGTCTTTACTTGGACCATCAATACTGACCCCGGCGGAGCTCACTATATAAATCTCATGGTGAATGGTGCAATTGTGGGAGGATCGGTCACTGATACAAGGAATGGAAATTATGACTCTGACTCATCAACAGTGGTAGTAGTCATTAAAAAGGGACATAATGTAAACCTTCGAACAACAGCTGCAACATTTGGTTCTTCGACCATATTCGTTGATGTTCATGCATTCACGTCATTTGCTGGTTGGCGAATAGGGTCTTAGTAAATTTTTTCTCAATCTTGATTTAATGGTATTTATTTTACTACAGAAGCTATATTTCTTGTTACAAAAAAATCAAAATGAATGTATTTCCTTTAACAAAAATATATTGCCTTTCTGCAAATATTTGCTGCAAGTCTGCAGCAAACATTGCTGCAAACTTGCAACAAACATTGCTGCAAGCTTGCGACAATGTTGCTAAAGAAAGCATGACAGTCTATACAAAGCCATGGTGTTTGCAGCAAGTTTGCGGCAATTATGCAGCTAGCTTTCAGCAGACATTTTTCCATGCAAATGAGGTTTGCTGCAAGTCTGCAGCAAACACTGGATTTTCCAAATGTTGAAACCTTACTGCAAGCTTGCCGCAAACATTGTTGCAAGCTTGCTGCAAACATTGCTGCAAACTTTCCTGATGGTTTTGGCACATTCCTGTACACAAGCAGCAACTTTGACATTTTGACCTTGAGCTTGGAGATTTTCGTACGTACGAAAAAACTTTAACCTTGGCCATTATTTTTGAACGATAAGGGCTAGTGCTCTCATACTTCACATATGTAATCCTTGTGAGAAGACCTTTCATTGGATACCAAGAACTTTGACCCTTTGACCTTGACCTTGGAACTACTTAAAAAAACACTGATCAAAAATTTTAAAGGGTTAGGGCTATTGCTTTCATAGTTTTCATATTTCATCCTTGTGATAAGACCTTTGATATGATATCAATAATTTTTACCCTTTGACCTTGACCTTGGAGTTTGACCTTTTTTTTATTTTTAACCTTGGCCATAACTTTTGAAGGGTTAGGGCTAGGGCTTCCATTCTTCACATATGTATTCTTTGTGGCAAGACCTTTCATTAAATACCAATTACCTTGACCTTTTGACCTTGGAGATTTCCGTACTTATGAAGAAAAAACTCTTACCTTGGCCTATTTTCATATTTCACAATAGTATTTCCAGTGAGAATATCCAACTTTGGGTGCCAATATGTTAAATTTGCATTTAAGAAAAGTTTAATCTTCGCTATGTGCCATACGAGGGCATCAGTGTTTCACAAACACATCTTGTTTGCCTTATATTTACAGAAAATTAAGAACTTGACACATAATTCAATAATTTTAAAAATATTAGTAATGACCAAACAAGATCTTTAACAGAGACCCTTACAAGAAAAGCAAAACCAGGAGCATAACAACAGAAATTAAGCAAAGATGATTGAGATGCCTGGGACATGTGAGGAGAATGCCCCAGAGTAGGATACCTAAAACATCATTATATTGGGCGCCATCTGGAAAGAAGAAGCGGTAGACCATGAACAACTTGGAGGAGAACCATAACATCAGAGCTCTAGGAAATGGGCTACTCGTGGGGCAGGCACAGCATATAGCAAAGGAAAAAGGGAGATGACGATAGCTTATTGGAGCCTTGTGTCCCATCGGGGACGAAGAGGATAAGTATTAAAGTAAGTAAGTATGAATGCTTTGTTGTACAGCACTCTTGGAGATTTTTTTTAAAGATGTTAATATTTTTATGAGGACTCACGATAAAAGAAAGAGGCTTTGTAGAACATTTACTGAAACCTGATACATTTATAATTATATCTTTCTTAGAATTTATATGAAGTTAAGGGATCCGGTTTAGGTATCATGGTAATTCAAATTCATTTTGATTGTTGGGAATGTTAAAAATATCTAAAGCTGACATATGACTTTGAAGAATTTCTTCTTAACTAAAGGAGCTGTAGGTATAAGTTTAATTAACACTTGTAGAATATCAAATTCTAGTTCCTTAAACATATTATTCATGAGTCTTACAAACTAAGACAATGTTGTTACCCGCTTTGTCAGCTGGTACGGTGCCTGGGGTATAATACTTTTTTATATGTAATAGTGCAATCTAATTCCTTTTAATGCCTCCGTCAACGAAATTTCAGGGGTGTATAGTTTTTGTCGTGTCCTTCCGTCTGTCTGTCTGTCTATCTCTCTGTCTGTCTGTCTAGCTGTCCATATGTCTGTCTGTTTGTCCGCAAAAACTTTAACCTTGCCCATAACTTTTAATTCAGTGGACCTATGACTTTCATATTTCACATGTGTATTTCTTGTGACAAGACCTTTCTTTAAGTACCACCAAATTTGACCTTTTGACATTGACCTTAGAGTTTGACCCACTTGTACATAAAAATTCCAAACTTTTACTTTGGCCATAACTTTTGAATAGTAGGTACTAGGACTTTCATA